GGAGAAGGACGCTTCATGGCTCCTGCAAAGGCTACTCAAAAAAAGAAGCCTATCGCGAGGCCTCAAGGTGGTGAGGAGCCTCAGGGAGGTGCTGCAAGCTCACCACCTCCAACCTCGCGTCGCGGCCGCGCGATTAGAACTCCGTCTCGATTTCTATAGCTGTATATATATATTAAAGCCTATTGATCTCACCACCAAAATATATCGTGATAATATCTATTTGGTGTGGCTCTATAGCCTCGTTTTTAAGGTAGTTTTGGTGAGGCCGCGCGCGCACTTTGTGGTCGCGCGCACTTTGTGGTGGGGCTAGTTAATTTAGTATAACGTCAAAGTATAGCGAGTGGCCGAGAATAGCGAGTGACCGAAAATGCCAAGCCCCCATCAACCTCACTACCGTTGCGCAACCATTACAGCGCAACAACAACAGTAAATTAAAATTAGAAAAGGCTAATCTATTTAGAATTAACCTCTTTATCTTGCTTGTAGGTGCGCGAGTTGTGTCTAGTCTCACCGCAGCGTCTACAGCGCCTTTGCGACAGTTCGCCTACTTTAGCGCTCTCTCTCTTCTTTGCCTTCTTCCCACTACCACGCGCCCCAGACTCCTTTAGAGTTGCTAGTTTCTCTCCTTCTTCAATTGTTAGGGTCTCTCCTTTCTGTAGCCGCTTTCTTTTGTGTGATCTCCTTCGCGTGGCGGCTTCATTCGCTGCTTCAAGCTTAGAGACCCGTTTCTTGACTAACACTAACTTATGCGCAATAGTAGTCGCACCTTTAACTAGGTTTTTAACAGCACCTAGGATACTTGTTGGTGAACTATCTAGGTGCATTTGAATCCTCTGCTTCACCAGCGTTGATTGCAGCCCTATTTCTAGGGTGTTGCTTGGGGTTTGCGACTGCTAGTGTAGATTTTCAGCAGCAGGTGGTGAAGGGGTGCGCAGCTTAACATCTAGCTTTGATGTCACCACCTCTGGGTCGTGTGGAACTAATCCGGCGCCTCGAAACCCTCCTAGGATATTATCCTTTGTAACTGTCTGAAAATAGGCTTGCTAGAAGGCTGGCAAGAACTCTATCTTGGTCATATGGTTGATCCTATTGCGCATTAGCTCCTCGGCTTGGCGCCTATATGCCCTCTTCAAAGGCGAAAAACACCCCACATTAAGAGGCTGCAGTAGATGGGAAGAGTGCGGAGGCATACATAGAGTAACAATCTTTGCTTCTGTGCAGTATTGCTGGAAGTTGACTGAGTTGTGGCTCTCATGACCGTCTAGAATGAGTAGGCAATAGGCTCTAACAGTACGCTCTTTTGTATGCCTGTTATAGTGCTCTAGCTACTTTATACTGAGCTCGTTTGTTGTCTAGCTATTCTCAGAGACTGCGAGAACGCAATCCCTAGGCAGGCTGTCTTCCTTGTACCAGGCAGAGAGGTGGTGCTTGCCCTAAAAGATGATGAAGGGTGGGATCGCCCAGCCAGCTGCGCTGACACAAACCACGCTGGTAACCCACTCTTTATTGCCCTGCTGCAGAGATTTTAGCTTTAATCGACGATTAGAGGCTGTGACTACTGCTGACGAGTTGTGCATGCCTATTATAAAGCCCGTCTCGTCAAAATTGTACATGTCGTTGTCCTGGATCCCATACTTGGCTTTGGTATTCTGTACAAGGCGGAACTAGCCCTGCATAAGCTCAGGATCTTCACAGAGGGCTCTCTTGTAGTCGTACTTTTGATTAAACTTTATCTTAAGCTCTGGGCGACGCTTTATGAATGCTTTAGGCCAGTTAGGGCCAACAGGGTCGCGGTGGCGGGCAGCTAGCAAAGAATTAGCTAGATCTTTGACAGCAGAAAGGCGCAGCGGAAATCCTCTTGCATCAAGATCAAGAATATTCTTGACAATCACCTCCTCTTCTGTTATAAGTAGTTTCATTAAGTTGGGCGAATAATCTTGTCGAGAAGGCTTTCCTGCGAGTCTTCGTCTTAGGGTACGTTTAGGCACGTTGTAGAGAGCTGCAGCGCGTAGAATGTTAATTGTCGCGTCGCATTTAATAGCCTAAATTGCAAGCTATACTTGAGACTCTTTTAAAGACTTTTTTGAATGAATTTGTTGAGACATCGCGAGTAGTAGTGAAAGTTGATGGGGGCTTGGCATTTTTGGTCACTCGCTATTCTCGGCCACTCGCTATACTTTGACGTTATAGAAATATACTAAGTCTAACTAAAATATATAATATATACATAGAGTAATAATATAAAAGAGTGATAGTGTATAGTAAGTGAAATAAGTAGTTAGATGATTAACCACTCGGCTTACATAACCAGCTAGATAGCGGCTCGCGCTCGGAACCTCAACTTCAAGCATTGCCCCAAACGGCGTCCTTGTCCACAGCGTCTCCCCCGCCGATTGCGCAGCACACCCGTGTGCAACCCGCCTCATCGCCCAACGCAATGCTCCCCGTCGCTCTCCGCGCGCTGCGCTCCCGCAGCACAGCCGCCGGCCGCCCGCTCGCCCGCAGCGTGTCAACCGCTACAACCAGCAACCAGGTGCCCGCCAACGACGCCGTCTCGCGCGACGCAAAGCCCAATGTATCCAAGACCAACGAGATGGCTACGTCGTCGGTCGGCGCGTTCGACCAGTCGCTGCAGGAATCCGTAGTCGACGCCGAGCAGCTGAGGACGACGCAGGCGCCCAACTTCAAGGGCATCTGGTCGAGGAGTCAGAATCCGAGGGCGGTTGCGATGAGCGGGCCACGATTCGAGCAGACGATTATCGCAGACCAGGTATGCCATTTTTTTCCCCTGGTTGGGCAAGAATCCCGCGGGAGAAGCATTGAGGATTTGGAGGGAGGAGGAGGAGGAAGTGCTATGACGTGGAGAGCCAAACAGGCAATTGGATACGAAAGAGCGGTGTTTTGCACATTTTAGCTAACAGCAACCTTTTCCAGCCTCGCCCTTATGCTGCCATTGAGCTGATCCACAAGCAACCCGTCCGCTGGACACACGACAAGGTTGTATCTTGTGACGGCGGCGGCGGCCCTCTTGGACACCCCCGCATCTTCATCAACACAGACAAGCCGCAGATTAACTGGTGCACATACTGCGGTATTCCCTTTGTACGTCCTGAGTTGCCCCTTGGGAGCTGTGGATGCTTCAAGTGCAATAATTGCAGCGGGCTTTGATGTTCAGCGGACAACATTGCTAATGGAATGCAGGCCAACGACAAGCACCGGGCTACTATCGAGGCCATGCCCGAGAGCGAGCGTTCATACCCGCTGGGCCCCAAGGGCGATGCGGCCGAAGTCAACGAGTCACAAAAGGTCACGGACGAGCCACTCGCACAGCGGTAGAGCAGTCTTGGGTTTTGCCGTGTATACATGAGTTCCAATTCAAAGTGCTGCAAGCAGGCATGCCGTTGACTTTTAGAACATTCAATTGACTGTAGAATATGCAGCTGACTGTGGAACATGCAATTGACTGGAATATGCAATTGACTGGAATATGCAATTGACTGGAATATGCAATTGACTGGAATATGCAATTGACTGGAATATGCAGTTGACTGTGGAATATGCAGTTGACTGTGGAATATGCAGTTGACTGTAGAACATGCAATTGACCTGTTTGGAAGCATGTGTGATGTCTCCAGGCTAGCTTTATCGTATAATGTTGAGACCTGAGACTTGGATAGACACATTGCTCGTTTAACTATATTATACACCCCGACTAACAAAAGGATATCACGCCACTCACATCTTCTCGCCCTGAATCGTGGCAACCACCTTGCGCGTATGCTTCGAGTCCCTAAACTCCAGATACCAGATACCCTGCCAGGTGCCGGTATTGAGTCTCCCATTGGTAATGGGGACCGTGACACTGGCGCCAATGAGGGCCGACTTGACGTGTGCAGGCATGTCATCGCTGCCCTCTGCATCGTGCCGATACAAGCCCTGGCCCTTTTTGTCCTCGGGCACAATGCGGTTCAGCGCCGTGCCCATGTCAGCGCGCACATCCTCGTCGAAGTTTTCGTTGAGCGACAGCGCGCACGACGTGTGCTGGATGAAGAGATTGAGCAGCCCCGTCTTGTACTGCTTGATTTCCGGGACTTCCTTGAGAATATGGTCGGTGATGAGGTAGCAGCCGCGGGAGCGGGAGGGTAGTGTGAGAGTTTTCTGGGACCTTTGGGGTTTGTCGTGTTAGTATGGGTTGTTGTAGTTGTGCAATTGCGAGGGCGAATCTCGTCTCTCTGTGTGTGTATGTGTGTGTATTCATGTAGATTTACACTCTTGGGGGGTTTTTTTTGCTTTCTTTCGTATTTGTAAGGAAAGTATACAAACATACCACGACATTATCGGCGCAGAAACACACGTTCGGACTCGTACACACGACACTCTTGCGCGGCGCGGGGGTCGGCACAAGGTAACTCGCAAGCGCGTTATACGGCGCCCAGAAAATAGATACAAAGACGCCCGGGAACAGCGCGAGCAGAAACACAGAGGCGAAGAGGAAGGTGGCGAGGTGCGAGCTGGCCGTGTGTTGGTGTTGGTGTTGCGCAGTGTGATGGGGCTGTGGCATCGAAAGAAAAGAAACAAGACGAAGCTGGTTGGGGTTGCGTGTGGAGAGGGGGGGGATGTGTTCGGAGGTTCTCGCGCGGAGGTGGGGTGCGGGTGGACGGCGGCGGCGGCGGCGTGTGACGTCAAGGCGAGTTGTGGGTTTTGGTGGGGTTGGGGGAGGGATACTAGGTGTGCTTTCATAGTTTAATTTTTGCCTTTTTTTTTCGCATAGGCTGTTGCTAATATCAAGTGCTTCTTATTAAAACTTTAATTCACGCTCATGCATATATCCTTACTGGGACGAATCTGGGTATCTAGCAGACGAGCACAAGCAAGTACCACATGCACGAGTTCGCGAACGGACAATTACTGGAACTATGATTACCCGCATGGATTCAGTTCTGATACTCGTTCAGAAAGCAAAAAAAAAAGTTGATCAAGACTCACTCTCATCAAAGACGGAAACCCTGACATGTACTGAGAACCCTTGAACGCAAATGAGTATGTATGTTACCAGCATCTGTTTTTGCATTCCCGCAATTTCCCCCCTGCCTTGCATGTTCGCAGAGATATCTCAAGTTCCCACCTGGGAAAATAACCATGTTGTCAATCTGGAGAACCAGAGAAAAAAAAGTGAAAAACTCCAAACGCCAATGTACCGAGCCCCCCCCCCCACCCCTCGGGTATCGTCATATACAAGGCTTATCCGTAAATTACCAAACCTAGCCATTATCAAAAAAAAGCCCCGCCAGTATCTTGAACTCATGTCGTCTGTTCGACAAAGGCAAGCAAAGCACTTCTTCTTCTCTTTGAATCCATCATAAGCATCCCTCTCTCTCTCTCTCTCTCGCTCCCTCTCATTTACGCACGATGAAACACCAAAAACCCAATCTCAGCATCCATCATCCAGCGACCAGGATGACACTCATTCTCAATCTGATAGTACGAGCGCAGGTGCCACTCGCCATTGACCTCGCGGCACCAAAACGGGTCGTCGTCGCGGGCATCAGCCGGGCGAATCTTGCGGGCATCATAGGCGCCGCGTGCCGTGGCGATGCGCCTGTTCTCGAGCTGAATGTCTTCGCGTGTGGGGGCAACGCGGGGGGAATGGCCGTGGACGTAGGCGGGCCTGGTTTCCCGGACGACGCGTGCAGCAGGAGAGGTGGTGTACGCGGGGGCCTGGCTGTTGGTCACATGGTACGTGGTTGTCGTGGTTGTAGTGGCAGGCGGGTAGACGTGTGTCGTGTAGCCGTACGTGGGCACCGTGTTGTAGTAGGTGCGCTGGTAGGGGTGGTAGAAGTTAGCAAGCGGGTACAGCGTGCCATACAAGTTGTAGTTGTAGTAGCCATAGCCACCGCTATGCAGGGGATAGGAGTAGCTGGGCACGACCGCCTGGGGGACAAGGGGACGGGTGTTGTATACCACGGGTTGGTAGGCGCTCGCTGCGTACCCGACGCCGACACCTGGGTATCCAACGCCGTAGCCATAGCCGGCTCCCATGACGCCAGTGGGTGCGGCGCCATTGGGAGCTTGGCCGGCGTAGCTGAGGATACCGCGTTGGCCGTGGCGCGGAGTGTAGATGTACTGGTGACGAGGTTTTGGGTACGCTTCCATTGCTCCGGTGGGTAGGCGCCGAGTACTTGGAGCGAAGAAACGAGTTGATGATGACTGTGGTGTTGTTGCCGAGGGAAAAGGTTATACAGACGAGGTAGTAGTTGCAAGTGTAGTGAAAGTAAAGGAAAGAGACAAGGTGAGGGCCAGAACACGGCCCGATGCGGCAAACAAGCTCAGGGTGAGTATATTTGCACGCGGACGTCCATGATGACATGCCGGCCAATAGCAGTGAGACAAGGCAGCGGTGTAATCAACGAACAGGCAGCCAGTGAGAGAGGAAAAGCAGTAATTCACTCACCATTGCGGAACTAACCGGCACAAGACTGCGTGCTCCAGTGTGGTAGCCCGTGCCATATGCGTATCCAGAGAAGCCCCCCGCCAGGACGCCTCGCGGATACACAGTGCCATGGTGAGAGTAGCGGCCAGCAGGCGGCTGGGCATAATACCGCGACGGGTAGTACGCACCGCCGAGACCGTATCTACGGCGACGAGACATGCCATAGCGCGGATGGTAGTCTGCAGTGTAGTAGCGCTGGCCGTTGCGCAGCTCGACTCTAGATTCGTACTTGTATTCGTCGTCGGTGAAGCACATGGTGGCGATTTGATCCGAGGCAAGAAAGAAAAGTAGACGGACTGGGTGGACGAAGCGTAAAGCAGAGTAAAGCAAAGCAAACAGAGACGCGCGCCATATGCGGAGAGACAGCCAGGCGAATGCATATACGCTTCACCTGTCCTTCACCACGCCATCTGTCCTCAATCGCCAACGGCTCCAAAAAGAAGAAGAAGAAGAATAGCATATGCTTACCCTGTGCGTTTCACATTGAACTGGATAAAAGGCCCAGGCGCCTACACACGATGCCCATTCATGAGCTGCACAAGTCTCCTTTTCACAACACAACACAACACAACAACAATCACCCGCTCTTCTTCCCGGCACTGCCACTGCTCTTCCCCACAACGCGCCTAACCCATCTCATAACAGGGGCGACAGTCCACCTGGCAAACGCGGGTGTCGCCCACACGCTAAACACAATGCGCGGCACAAGCAGCATCTTGACGATAGCATACGCGGCCGCGAACTCGACGACAAGCCGAACACCTCGACTTTGGCCCGCGCGCCCCGTCTCTTTGCCTTGAGCGTGCGCCGCCGCCTGTGCCTCGTCGGCGTCCTCGCTGCGGATCCAGCCTTTGCGCTGGAAATACCGCGAGAACCGCTGGATGCCCGCCGCGAGCCACGCGCCCTCTGTCAGCGCCGCAGGGACCCACTGCGTGTAGTGGAAGGTGGCCGCGAGCCCGAGCAGCGGCATCACGGCCGTCAGTTCGTGCAGGACGAGGAACGAGGTGACGTGTGTGACGGGCGCGTTGCCCAGCGCCTTGGTGTACTTGTGCAGGAACTTGGGGAGCCGCTTGTTGAAGCGCTCGATGCGCGATTGAGACGGCGGCGGCGGCGGCGGTGGAGTACTGGCGTCTGTGGCATACTGGCGGCGGCGGCCGAGTGCGGTTGGGTTACGTGGTGGGAATGCGAGGCGACGCGTGCTTGTGCGCAGGAAGAGGCTTTGGCAGAACATGGTCGTGGTGGTTTGATACCCGAGTGCTTTGTATGTGTGTATTTGCTTCCACCTCTTTCTTCTCTCTCTCTCTCTCTAAGCGCACACTCCGGATCTGCGTGCCTTTCTGCGCGGTAGAGCGTGCTGGGATCCCATTTCGGCGGAACAAGCAATGGCCTGTCGTGTACTTATGACCAAAGTTGGTCGGAAGGCTAGCGGGCCGAGCTTGGTTGATTACTTACGTCCACGACATGACCGTCGGTAAATCTGGTGCCTTGCATGCATGGCCGTTACCGTTTGGCCCGTTAGGGCTTCAGAGCTGCAGATCACGCGACAAGTGCACTCAATTGCATACATTGCACGCAACATGGGACTTGTAGTGTTATTGCTGGATCAAAAGACATGGTCTACACGTTTCTAATGCATACAACTACCGTACACCCGCCACAAAAAATTGCCGTCTATAGCTTCTCCGCTACCTCGACAAACTCCTCCAGGTTTCGCACTGGCCGCACCCCCGTGCTGACTTGCATGCTCGCCTTCCAAGCATGCACGTCTGTAATGAGAACCGGATGCGATGCGTCCACCACACTCTTCACATCCGCCGCAGCATCCAGTGGCTGTGGCGTGGCTGGCAGCCCAGAGTCTGCCACACCCAGCGCAGCCTGTGCTTCATCCAGAACCTTGGTTGCAATGTCCTTGTCTACCTTGGCGTCTTCCGTCACGTGGCTGGCGATGGCCTTGGAGATGTCCTCCTTGGACGACGCGTCTGCCACTCGTTTTTGGAAAGCTTCGTCGTCAAAGTTGAGCTTGTGTTCAGTGAAGATGATCTTGAGTGCTGCCACTGCCGCCGTCTTCTGCTCCTCGATCGGCGGCTCTTTGGCCTTGGCCTGTGCCTGGAGGTGTACGGACAGCTTCGAGCGTTGTGAGGAAGACGTCGACACGTATTGCTTATAAAATTCAACCATGTCCTTCTTCGACAGTGTCTCAAGCGTCTCGGCATCAACATCGGCTGTGTAATCGTTAGCACCAGAATAATGTGAGCGACATCTAAAGACATACCTTGCAGGAAATCATACGAGTCGCTGTAGATATGATTCCAGAACCTGTTGTCTTCCGACGAGAGATTCTTGAGTTTCGCCAAGCGCTTGTTGATCATGGCCCGCTTGTGACTTTCAAAGTCGTCCTCGCTCATCTCATCCAGAGTCGCCTCAAATGTGTTCAAGAAGTTTTCAATCCGGCCCTCCAAGTACCGGCAGTCCTTTTCACTCTGAATCAAGATGCGGTATCCGGACCAGACATCGTGGAAGCTGGATCCCGAAAAGACAACGTAGCCAAGCTGTTCAATCGTACGGAGCTGGTTGAAGCAAGGCTCGTCCGTCATCTGTCCCAGAAGCAGCAACTTGGCACGAACGAGGTTGTCGTAACGGTTCCCAACATACAAGCTGTACTCAATGCAGTGGTTGACGTTTTCCGGATCGCCCAGTTGCTTTTCCCAAATGAAGTTGCAGCCCGATGGCCATATCAGACCTCGTCGAGTTGGGACCTGGTTCGCCGGAAGTCGCCTAGGCTGGATAGTCCTCTCCACAAGGTCGGTAATCTTGAGAGCCTCCTCCTTGTACAAGTTGCCGTGCGCAAGAACTTCAATCTGACACTGTGCAAGAATTTGTGGGAAGAAATTCTGCACGTCTTGGGCAGTTACATTGTCCAGCTCGGGCAGTAGTTCTTCGTTCATGACCGACTTCTCGCTCTTGAATTGGCGCGAGTAGGTGCCAACCTGGTGGAACGGCTGTCCGTACTCCCAGTTGCGAAGATACCGCAGCATACGATCGTGGATGATGTTGAAACGATCCTGTGTCACTTCCAGATCCCGGACCTGAAGCAGGACCTTCTCCAACAACACATGCAGTTTGTCATTGTAGCCACTGACCGTTATCGACAAGCCATTGACGTGGTTGGTGAAATCATAAATCAGCCCCGCAATGTCGGCGTCGTACGCGTACTCGACCAGAGCGTCATTGACCAGCTCACGGTAGAGCGTGCACAACAGGTTAACGCGCGCTGTGACGTTTGTTATTGGTGTTCGGAGGTAGATGTGAACGTTAGCCTTGGGCACCCAGAATTGGTCATCCTTCTTCCACCATAGACGGACATTGTCATCATGGCGAATAAGCTTGGGCTCCTTGCTTGGTTGAGCGACGTCTTTCTTTTCCACATCCAGCCGCGTCGGTATGAACTCGTTCTTGTGGGGAAAGTGCAGCTCTGCCGGCCGCGTTTTGCTCTCAAAAGCCTGCTTGATCTCGGCGAGCAAGTCGTCGGGTATCCTCTCAATCTTGTACTCTGTCCCGTACCACTTCTCCTTTTGGTCCCAGCCGCCTGGGAAATCCTGGCTGATGATTGTCATCCTGAAGTTGTCTGGTCGCAGATACGACATGGCCTCACTGATCAGGTTGGCGTCAAACTTCCTGATGACGGCCGGTCCGCTTAGCAACATCTTGCGGTCGTACGGCTTCTGCATGATGCCTGCCAGCCCGCTGGCAGTCCGACTTGGTGGGCTCTTTTGCTTGAACCGGAACTCTACCTCACTGATGCGCATCTGCTCCTCCACCACCCACTCTTGGGGCGGCTGATCACGCATCAAGCCAATGTATTGAAATACAATCTTGGCAACCTCCTTGTAGTTCTTCAGACCTTCATCCGTCAACTTGATGTTGACAGTAAACAGACCTGAGCCCGGACAGAGCGTCGAGCCCCCTGCTCCCAGTCCATTTGCCCAGCCCTTTGCTTTGATATGCGCGAGAATGCTGCCAGGGCCTTCATGACCGAGCAAATGGCTAAGGTATCGCGAAGGATGTGACTCGTAAAATTTCTCCTCGTCGCGGTAGGCGAATTGAAGCTCCAGGGACCGAGACTGCAAGACGGGCCTGGCAAAGGTTTGCGTCAGAAGCTCCTTGTCTGTGTACACGGGAATGTCCCAGCGGTTCTGCCCAAGGTTCTTGTTTGGCACCTTGGAAAAGATGTCCTCTACCCATGATTCCAGGGTATCGAGACTCTCCCTTCCCAAGACTACCAGCTTCATCCTGTTCGCCGAGTAGTGCGTAGAGTGGAACTTGATGAACTCGTCGCGGATCTTGACGCCGCGCGCCAAGGGGTCATCATGCAGCGTCTTGTAACTGCCCGTGGAGAAGTGGTTGTAGGGGTGTTCGGGGTTGGCTAGCGCCTTGTTGAGCTGATGCATGCGCCAGGTGTCGTTCTGGAGGTTCTTCTTGTTCTCTGAATCCACCGCCTTGAGTTCGCGATCCACCGTGTCTTCCAAGAAGAGAGGGCTGATGAAGAATTGGCCAAACCGGTCCAACCCGCCCCATAGCGGCGACTCGTCTCTCGACTCGAGCAGGTTTGTCTGTGAGGCCTCTGGTGTCGCGGCGGTGCTGCTCGTCGGGGAAGACGACGAGTAGGAGAGCTCGAAATAGTAATTGGTCGAGGTGGATGCGGTAAAGGCATTCGAGTAGCCGCCGTGGCGCGTCAGGTACTGGTTGTAGGCATTCTCCTCGGGATACTTGTCGGTGCCCATGAACAGCAGGTGCTCTACCGCATGGGCAATGCCCGGCATGTCGGGCGCATCGCTGAAGCTGCCGACATTGACGTCCAGCGCGGCGCTGGCCTTGTCTGTGCCGGCCTCGTGTATCAACAGGACCTCTAATTGATTGGGCAGCGTGAGGATTCTGTACGAGCGGTCGTCGAGCTGCGGGCGCTCCAGGTCCTCGATTCTCTGCCGGACGGCTTCCCGTTCGAGCGCTTCCGCCATGATGGGCGACTGGTTTCTTTTTGCTGGTGAACTTGTGAGGCGGCGGCGGGTTGCAGGTGACGTGGCGGCCACGACCGGCGGGGCGAGAGGGTTATATATGTGGCGTGGCTGTGGGCGACTAGTGGCGGGCGAGGTGAAGGCCGAGGAGCAGTTTGCCGACGGCGCTGTGTACAGAGCTGGCCTCGTGACAGGCGGCAATCTGGTCGCGGTGGTTTGGTGGCGTGGTACGAGCGACCGATTTCCCACAGACTGTCGTGTGCCCAGGCGGCGGAGCATGCACAAGAATGCAAGTGGAGCCGGCGACGGTGAAGGGACGGACGGGGGCGCTGCCAACAAGGTGCTTGCTGGGCAGACGGATGCCAATTGCAGAGGGAATGCGCCCACACCACGACAGCGAAAACACCAAGGCCAGCAACAAGGACAAGCAAATGGGCGGTGAGGCAGGGCCAGAGGCTGTGGCGGGCGACGAGACTTGGGGGTGAGGCTGGCGACTAGACGTACGTACTTAGCGATGGGCGTCGCATCGCTCGCATAGCATACTTAGCTTTCGATAAGACGGGGGGCGGCCCTATCACCGGCGCTGCCGCATTGCCCCCCCCCCATCCACCTTTACTGCAATCAGCCATAGGCCTCGTTTGCGGCCAACATGGTACCCAGAGCATTGCAGGCAGGCTACGCGAACACGACGGGCTTCCGAAAGGTGGTCAAGGCCACCATCTACATCAAGAAGAAGGACGGCATGTCCGACGACGCCTTTGTCGCCTACTACAACCACCACCACGCCCAGCGGGCCGTGCCCATCCTCCAGCGGCACGGCATCATCAGCTACAGTCTTGTAGGCGTTTCGCATTCATGAATTGCACATGCCCAGTGCAGCATGGGCCGGGGCTGAGACTGCAGCAGACGTATCATCTCGAGCGCGACCGCAAGGCCATCCAGGACATCATGCACGGAAACGCAAAACTCATGGAATATGACGCCATCTGCACTTTTGTCTTTCCCGACTATCTCGCGCTAGCCAGGTTCATGTACGACAAGGACGGCGCCGCGCTGAGCGACGACCACGGCAACTTCATGGACGACAGCCACATGAAGATGATGGTGGGCGACGAGTACGTGCTGGTGGAGAACGGCGAAAAGGTCGGGTGACGGCATGTGCAAGCGAAGAAGACCGAGTCTCCGGGGGGTATCATTACTTAAACCGTGCCAGGCGTACAAATACATGGAGCGAGCCCGCCGTCTCTATCTCCGGCCCTTGCTTTTCCCTCTGCCTGAAGATGCGCGTGCCGTTGACGGGTTTGAGCAGTTGGCTGCGATATGTCCCTTTTCTCCACACTTGTAGCAGTCCACGTTGTTCATGCGGCCAGACCCGCCGCTGATGCCTCCTCCTCCTCCTCCTCCGCCGCCTGACCGCCGCCCGCCCGAAATAGACGTCAAGCCATTGAGGTTTCTGTCCTCGTTTGGTCGCGTGGGCAGTGCTTTTGGCGTGCTCTGACCCATGCTTGCGCGACTCTTCTTGGATTCTCGCTTTTCCGCGGCCATTTCGCGCTTCGTCTGTCGAATAAGGTCTGCCGCGGCATCGTCCGAGTCGTCATCGTCCGACGAAGACTCGTCTTCTGATTCCGAGTTTTCTGCTTTTACAAAGGGCGCCGAGGGCTACACATCATTAGTCAAAGAAACCGCTTGAGCCGGCGCACACATACTTCTGCTTTCTTGACACCACCCCCAAACTGCATGCGCACCGGCTTGCTCTCCTCGTCGTCGTCTTCTTCGGAATCGTCCTCTGCATCGATCTCCGCGTACCCCGCATGCCTCACATTCATGGCGTCCTGCCTCTTTCCCTCGAGCGGATCTTGGAAGCTCAACACCCACTTGGTCTCACCCGCATGTTGCGCTGCCCTTTCCAATGCCGCTTGGCGTTTTTCTTCTTCAGCGTCGAGTCCCGACTGGATGATTTCGCGGTCAGAAGTCCCTATGGCAGACGCGCCATTCGACAGACGCGCTTTTTTCGAGGGAGGGCCATTGGGTGTTGAAGGCGACGAGGTCGAAGACTTTGCAGCCGCGCGCTGCATGAACTACACACGGATTAGCATATTTCCATGACCCGAAGGATGCGGGCGCCCACCTTCATGCCCATCAGTCCCTTGGACATTGTTTTGGGCGTGTTTCCCGACATGTTGGCTGTGACTTGCGGCGGTTGGGGTTCCGTATGAAGAGTAGACTGAGGATGCCGTAAAACTTCCGGTCGTGTTTTCGCAAAGTCGCGTCCGGGCAGCTTTTGGCGCACGGGCCCTCTCGCTATCGATAAGCACGTGCCCAGCAATGATGCAACCAGGCGGGCTATTGTTAACCGAGATGTGGGCTTCTTTGGCGCCTTGGGGTGTAGACCTAATATCACCCATTCCAAATACTTGAACGCCCCTCGGCATTACACGCCGGATTAATGATACGCCTGAAACAACCGTGGACGCAGCTGAGCAAGTGCCTACTGCAAGGAGACGGGTCTACTGGACATCCCCAACACAAGAACACGACTCGGACACGACTCGGTCAGAAGACGAAGGGGGTTGCTAAAACCTGGCCATGCATATTGCAGCGTGTTACTACGCTTCTCACGATATAAACATAAAATGTGCAAGACACATGTCGACTAATTACATATTACTCCCACCGTCAGCCCCCCCCTGGGCTTAGCCCGACGACTCCCGCAAAGACCGCTAGTCCGTCGCTAGCAAGCGTTCCAGAAACGCGCTCCAGACCGTTAGGCTATCTTTCCAGGAAGGCCTAAAAGCCCAGCTGAGGTCCATTTCCGTCAAAAGCAGCCCCGTCATGACATTGTTCGTGGCAGTTCGTTTCAGTAGTTTGTGCTTTCATGACTCGTATTTGCAGCAGTGTGCCACAAGGATGCGTTTTTTCTCTCCTTTTGCCCGTGCGAAATACCAGACTCTCATGTTGGCCGCGAAGGATTCGAGTTTGTTGATCGCGAGAAGAGGGCGGCTTTCATCTGGCAATACGCTTCAATGGCAGCTTCGCGGGACCGAGCCTCGGCGCTAGATTCGACCGAGGACGTTGCATTCCGTTTCGGTACCGACATTGTCCATATCGAGATATCAGACGCGCGGGTTGGCGAGAGGAAAAGATGTGATGACTGTTGGAGAGAAACAGGGGCCATTGTGATATTGGCAGTGTACGCAAGTTGCTGGAAGTGTGTTCGTGAGCCGTATACAGGATGGATGACAACAAGTCGTTAGCAAGACGAAGAACCTTTGTTCTTTGCGAGAGCCGACAATCATATATATATTTATATGTCCTTGGTTTGATTTGTCACAGACTCGGTGCTTTTCCATGCCCTCCGACTAAAACACGATGCCGAAACAAAGTCCCGGCAACAGCCAAATAAGGGCTTACCAAGCGCCCGCCGGGCCCCAGGGACAAAATTACGCAATTTGGACATGCCCCCTCGACGTCGCTAAGACTTGCGATGTAAATGCGGTCAGCGGGTAACGAGGACAGCCTGTTGCGGAGACAGCAAAAAGCACACAAGGCTGTTGGGGCACTCAGCACCGAGCCAATGAACAAGTCGCCAGCCGAGCAACGGTAGTGTGCAAGGGGAGGAGGCCTGACCCGGGATCGTGGGGGGGAGGGACTTGGCTGTGACGAGATCGCAAGATGACATGGTGTTGGTTGACAAATACCAGCGTTCGCCATGACATGACTGGGGGCGGGTGTTGGCCTTTTGCCTACCGTTTAACCCTGGGCGGCATGATTCCAAATATCTCGATGCAGCGATCGGCGCTAACGGCCGCCCTAGCGTTTCCGGGCTTTACCGTGTTGAAACACGAGTGCAGCGGCCGCAGACACGGACAACGCAGTCAGCGGGCGTAAAAGCTTAATTCAGCATGCGGATGAGATATCCGTGGGTACGTACGATGTATGTATGTAGGCACAAGCCCGCTGCTGCACCAGCGGCACAATCAACTCCATGGGAACAGGAGCTCTCGAGATGGCGGGTAGTCTTAGCTCACACATACACCCCCTCCTCCCTTGCTTTACTTACCCTGCCGCAACATACGCGCAGGCCATTCGTCTAGCACACACGTGTATCACTCCTCTCAGCACTAACCATGATTTCGATCTCGACAAACCTCCTCCACATGGACCTCTCTGCGCATGATCGGAAGAAGAGAAAAAGTAACATGTGGTAACTAAGTTTCCCCGGGTCCCCCCCCCCATGCTATGCCCGCACACCCACACACCCACACCAGCCTTCTCTCCTCATGTACTCCACTTCTCATGCAAGCCACTCACACGCTTTTGCAGCTGAGACTACCACTACCGAGACTACTACCGATTAATAGAGAGGTTTTTGGCCAATTCCCGGCTCTTGCTGCCGGTATTTTTCTTTTCCTTTCTTTTTTTGCCTGGAAGAGTGACAAATTCTCGTCGGCACGGAGAGACGAGTGCAGCAGAGTGGGGGACATGTGGTGTGGTGGACTGTATCTATGTACGGCGCCGCCTTGGTTGCTTGGCTTGGCTCATTACAGAGGCCACAGGTACCATGCATGTCTGGTGGTGGATTGTTCATCTGTTTGTTGTTGAAAGAGCGGTAGTGATACTTGACCGTTCCTTTGGCAGCCCATTGGTGGTCTACAGTCATCATCCTCGACATCGCCGCCTTCACATGCTGCGCTTGTAATTACCATTTTTCGAAGTGCTTGGTTTCTGCTATTAGTCACTGATAAAGGGGTTCTCAGATAGCCCCCATGCTTATATTAAAGACTTGGCTTCCTTTCGGCAAGTCATGCTCCGGCACGACACAGGGGTGGCCTCGTTTTCATGTGTTCTAGCCACAGCGCTCTTTGTTCCTATAGAAGGTGACTGTAGTCGGTAACTTGTTCCATTTTGTGTTTGCATGGTCTGCTAATGGCTAGTAGAGGGTATGGTGTTCGGCAGACTATAAACCAAACGGAGTCATGATACTCGGATTGAAGCGTCCTTTGGAATAGGTCTATCCAAGAATAGGTTGATCCAACAATCAGAGTGCGATGGAAGACGTTGATGCAATCCCGCGTGCTTGTGCGGCTCAAGTCAGTCGGGACCTGAAAATTCAGCATGTGACGACCCCGCTCGGAACCATAGTATACGCAAAAGATACCGACCTCTTGGATTTCTCTTTATTTCACAGCGCTAGTATTGCATTGTCCTTTGCAGAAACTCTTCGGACCGTGGTTGATGACCTGGTGTAGAGATGTGATTGGAAATGATGAGCCCCAATGGCTCTGCATCATCATATCAACCAGCCGGAATACCCTTACGACGTACAAGATCGTCGAGACCGCCAACACATCGCGTCACAAAGACATGGCAGCCTGAGTCAGCGTATACTTCCATAGTCCACGGCAAGACATGGCTCTGTAAATGCTTCGCGGCCGCCGCCAGTCCTGGACAATTTCCATGCGTTATGATGTATGCTCGTTCACCAAGCTGGTTTGTCCTTAGCTCCAAGGCAACGGCAGACATCAGCTATGAAGCCCTGCTTCCTACAGTGATTCTCACTGCTCTTGCTTCGGTCATGGTTGTTCTTCGCTGGTGCAGCCGAGTCTGTTCGAGGTCGATTACAATCGGGCCAGAAGACTATTGCGTCACAGCTGCCATGGTAAGTGCATCTGGTGTCGTGACCGAACATGGCTAACTGCCACAGGTGTTTTCAGCAGGGTTTACGGCTGTCGTTGGGCGAGGCGAGTCTGAAATTAGTCGAGTGCTGACGGAATCTGACTGGAGTACAGAGTTCAGCATTGACGTCGCAGATCTCAGAGGAGAGAACAAGTCGCCCACCTCGCTCTCAATCATGCTCAAGGTACATATTCCTCCGTGCAAGTGGGCTACACTGACTGTCTATAGCTTGTGCTCGCTCAAGCTATCCTCTATCATCTTGCGAGTAATCTCGTCAAAACGTCCTTGATCCTACAATACATCCGCCTCTTTTCACACGTCCCGTCGATAGTGTGCATCTGCTACGCCCTCTTCATCCTTGTACTCGGCGCCACGGCCTGGGGCGTGTTCGGCAATGTGTTCCTCTGCGACCCCGTTCAGAGCTACTGGGAGATGACAACAGCTGGAACCTGCATGGACAAGGAGCAGCATTTCTGGTCGACCAGTGTCATTGGAATTGTCCTCGATGTCGCCATCTGGGTGCTGCCGATTCCCGTTATTGGCCAACTGAAACTGCCCAGGCGACAGAAGACAGGACTGCTGGTTGTCTTTGGGCTGGGTGGAGTGTATGCGTATTGCCGGTATAAAAAAGGCCACATACTAACGTGTACCGCAGTGTGTGTATTGTGACTATTGTGCGACTTGTTCTGGTTCAGGACGCCATGAGCCACGGTCAGGTGACGAGTAAGCCACGGCAGAACATGTTGATTCGACGCAAGCCTAAGATGCACAGGGTGCGGTTCCTACGCAATCATCTTCTCGTCCATCGAGATCAACATTGCCATCATATGTGCGTCGTTGCTGGTGATGAAGCCTCTCTTTGCACGCTTTCTCCCCTATGTCGTTTCCGAGCAGCCGCTGTCTGCGGCCGAGGATGGGAGGACATGCAGGGCGCTGACGGGCATGCACCTGCTCAGCGCCGGCATCGTGTGTGCAGCAGAGAAGAGGGAGCGCGGGGGCCGGAACGATACGGTGATTGAGATGGGTTCCTTTTCGTAGCTAGTTGGATGGAGGTGATGGGCAGGTAGCTACCCCAGCTGCGGTTTACCAAAGCAGCTCGGCGCAGAGCTTCGCCGATGACGTAGACGAAGCAGCTCCGCGAAGCCGGCGGCGTGCGCAATATACGCCTGTAGCCTCAGGATTCCAGCGTGTGTAGCAAATGCGAGCAAGGCCCCAGCAGAGCCATGCCCAAGCCTCCGTCTCATATTTCCCCAGGCGGAGTGGGTGGCAGATGACAAGGAATGTCCCCACCAAGCGCTAGCGCGCCGTCCAAGCTCAACCTCGACCCAACCTGCAACCACCATCGATTGATTGAATGCAACTCGGTCTGCGTCCTCGTTTGCGAACACGGCCATCGTTGTACGACCTCGTGCACAAGCAGAACATTGACCAGCTCTCGATCTCTGGAGCTCACCTCGCCACCGGCCCGGACGACGTCGACCCTCACCGCGTCCCGCTTCCTGCAAGCCCGCTGATAGCACCGCATCGCGAGCTTGCTACACCAGCGCCCCCGCCGCACATTACCCTAGAAGCAGCCAGCGACGACGAAGAAGAAGCAGACGCATCGATTGCCAAGATGCCTCCCGTAAGCAGTGCCGCCCGCTACCGATGGGCCGTGGTGCGCAGGCAGCTAACTCGATGGCGCAGAAAGCTCAGAAGAAGCAGGACAGGAAGACGGAGGGCGGCGAGGAGCAGGGTAAGCTCTCCCAGCGCATGCACGCACGCCGGTGGCTAACGTCTATACAGGCTCCATCTACTCCATCTCCGGGTACGTCACCGCACGGCTGCGCGCCCGCCGCATACTGACCCGCCCAGGCCTGTCATCATCGCCGAGAACATGATTGGATGTGCCATGTACGAGCTCGTATGTGCAGTGCGCCGTGTGTGCTGGGCCAGCTGTTGACTGTCTTAGGTTCGTGTCGGCTACGAGAACCTCGTGGGTGAAGTCATTCGAATCGAAAACGACAAGGCCACCATCCAGGTCTACGAGGAGACTGGTATGCGCCCCGCAGATACATGCTCGGGGGCTTTCTGGCTAACGCTGCGCAGCTGGCGTGACTGTTGGCGACCCCGTACACCGCACCGGACAGCCGCTGTCGGTCGAGCTCGGCCCTGGTCTCATGGAGACGATTTACGACGGTATTCAGCGCCCGCTCAAGGATATCGCCGTCGACGCAGAGAGCATCTACATTCCCCGCGGCATCGACCTGCCTGCGCTTGACCGCAAGAAGAAGTGGGACTTTACCCCCGGCTCGCTCAAGGTTGGCGACCACATCACCGGCGGCGATGTCTTTGGTACCGTGTGGGAAAACAGTCTGCTCAGCGAGCACAAAATCCTGCTACCTCCCCGCGCAAAGGGCACCATTACTCGCATCGCCGAAAAGGGCAGCTACACGGTCGACGAGAAGATCCTCGAGCTTGACTTCAACGGCACCAAGACCGAGTACAGCATGATGCACAGGTGGCCCGTCCGAGTGCCCCGCCCCTCCAACGAGAAGATGTCTTCGGATCAGCCCCTCATTGTCGGCCAGCGTGTGCTCGACTCGCTGTTCCCCAGTGTCCAGGGTGGTACTGTGTGCATTCCTGGTGCTTTTGGTTGCGGCAAGACGGTCATTTCGCAGTCTCTTTCCAAGTTCTCCAACAGTGACATCATCGTATACGTCGGATGGTAAGGCTCAATTGTCACTTTTGCGCATGGTGGACGCTGACCTTGTCTGTAGTGGTGAGCGAGGAAACGAGATGGCTGAAGTCTTGATGGATTTCCCAGAGGTGCGCAAACCCCCAGTTCTAATCCGCGCGCTTCGACATGCTAACCATAGCTAGCTCACCATCGACGTCAACGGCAAGAAGGAGCCCATCATGAAGCGTACCACCCTCATTGCAAACACCTCAAACATGCCCGTCGCTGCTCGTGAGGCCTCCATTTACACGGGAATTACAATCAGTGAATACTTCCGCGACCAAGGCAAGAACGTTGCTATGATGGCCGACTCGTCGTCGCGATGGGCAGAGGCGCTTCGTGAAATTTCCGGTCGTTTGGGAGAAATGCCTGCGGATCAGGGTTTCCCTGCATACCTGGGTGCCAAGCTTGCGTCTTTCTACGAGCGTGCTGGACGCGTCGAGGCTCTGGGCAGCCCCGAACGATACGGCAGTGTGTCCATTGTCGGCGCTGTCAGTCCTCCAGGTGGTGACTTTTCGGACCCTGTCACGACGAGTACGCTCAACATTGTGCAAGTTTTCTGGGGTCTGGACAAGAAGCTGGCGCAGCGCAAGCACTTCCCGTCGGTCAACACTTCGATCAGTTACAGCAAGTACACGAATCCGCTAGACAAGTACTACGCCAAGAACAACCCCGAGTTCCCACGGTTGCGCGACCGCATCAAGGAGCTTCTGACTACTTCGGATGATCTCGACCAAGTTGTGCAGCTTGTGGGTAAGTCTGCGCTAGGCGACAGCGACAAGATCACGCTCGATGTGGCGACGCTGCTCAAGGAGGACTTCCTCCAGCAAAACGGCTACTCCGACTACGACCAGTTCTGTCCGCTGTGGAAGACGGAGTGGATGATGAAGAACATGATGGCTTTCCACGACGAGGCGCAAAAGGCTGTTGCCCAGGGACACTCATGGCCCAAGATCCGAGACGCGACTTCGGAGATCCAGTCGCAGCTGCGCTCAATGAAGTTTGAGCTGCCCAGCGACGGAGAGGAGGCCGTCACCAAGAAGGTAGATATACCCCATTTTGATTTATTCATTGAGCATATTGCTAACTATCCATAGTACGAAGAACTACTGCAGAAGATGACGGAAAAGTTTGCGTCGGTGGTTGACGAGTAGATGCTTGCGGTACTTTGAATTGCGTGTCTGTCTAGTATATCTCTATGAGCATAGTGTAGAATGAGAACGGTACCCAGTTGCCACGACTGTTGCCTGGTCCGCTGACGACGCTCTTGGGCGCCCTGTGACGGCGCTTGCGAATCACATGGTCGAGAAGAGATAATTTGGCCGCCTGGCTGCGAAATACACGTAGCAGGTTGCGTGTGCTGTCACTGGGGCGCTTGAGTGCATCCATTGCACATCATATGACTGCCTAGTGACGTGTGTCGCAAAAGCGATTGCGACTGTTTCCGCAACGCCGCAGGCCGCGTTCTGTGGCTGAGTAGTGGTAGCGTGGCGTAGTTTGGCCTATCGAAGCTTGGGCTCTCCGACGTTGACACCTGCAACAGCTACGCAACCTGCGAGCAACAACTTCAGATCTCAAACACCTTTGTCTCGCACGCCGTACACCACGCCTGCACCCATATCCTCCACCTACCGCGCCTTCCACAGACGCCTGTACAATACCATCTTCCCAGTCGCCGGCCATGGCGACAAATCCGAATGCGTAGGCACATATCTTGGGCAGCCCCTCGGAGCACCGAGTGCTAACATTGAAACAGGATCAACGTGAACGACCCGGGGCTGATTACCCTCGTGAACAAGCTCCAGGACGTCTTCACAACTGTCGGAGTACGTGGCGATTTTCTGCTTATTCTGCTTATTCGAGTCCAGGCAGCGATAGGCCATTCCATACACGTATACTGATGCCCCAGCCAGGTCCAAAACCCCATAGACCTGCCCCAGATTGCCGTCGTAGGATCGCAGTCTAGCGGAAAGAGTTCGGTGCTTGAGAACATTGTCGGACGAGATTTGTGAGTGGTTGCAGATTGCGACGTGCTCATGGAATGCCATGCTGACGACAGCGCTCCAGTTTGCCTCGAGGAACCGGTATCGTCACGCGAAGGCCGCTCATTCTTCAACTCATCAACCGCGCATCCAACTCACAATCGAACGGCACCAGCGAGGGTGCAAAGACTACAGACCAGGAGAACAATGTGGATGAGTGGGGCGAGTTCCTGCACATTCCTGGCCAAAAGTTCCATGACTTTAGCAAGATAAGAGATGAGATTGTGCGCGAGACAGAGTCAAAGACTGGTCGCAATGCGGGAATTTCGCCCGCGCCCATCAACCTCAGGATATACTCGCCAAACGTCCTTACACTCACGCTGGTCGACTTGCCCGGCCTGACCAAGGTGCCTGTGGGAGATCAGCCCAGGGATATCGAGCGCCAGATTCGCGAGATGGTTCTCAAGCAGATTAGCAAGCCCAATGCCATCATTCTGGCTGTGACGGCTGCCAACACCGATTTGGCCAACTCGGACGGTCTGAAGCTCGCACGCGAAGTCGACCCAGAAGGACAACGGACAATTGGTGTCTTGACCAAGGTCGACTTGATGGACGAGGGAACTGATGTTGTAGACATTCTCGCTGGACGCATTATCCCATTGCGACTGGGATACGTGCCCGTTGTCAACCGTGGCCAGAGGGACATTGAGAATAAGAAGGCGATTTCCTATGCGCTCGAGCACGAACGGCAGTACTTTGAGAATCACAAAGCATACCGCAACAAGGCTGCCTACTGCGGTACACCCTACCTGGCCCGTAAGCTGAATTTGGTAAGTTGCTGTCATTTCAACAAAGGCAGAGGGGATGCTAACGACCGTAGATTCTTATGATGCACATCAAACAAACGCTCCCCGATATTAAAGCCCGTATCTCATCCTCGCTGCAAAAGTACCAGGCCGAGCTCGCGTCGCTTGGCAACTCCATGCTAGGCAACAGTTCCAACATTGTTCTCAATATGATCACAGAGTTCACGAACGAATACCGTGGTGTGCTCGAGGGCAATAACCAGGAGCTGTCTGCAGTCGAACTTTCTGGTGGTGCGCGTATCTCGTTCGTCTACCACGAGCTGTACGCCAACGGTGTCAAGGCTGTCGACCCCTTTGACCAAGTCAAGGACATGGACATTCGAACAGTCCTGTACAACTCTTCCGGTTCATCGCCAGCACTGTTCGTGGGTACCACGGCGTTTGAGCTCATTGTCAAGCAGCAGATTAAGCGGTTAGAGGATCCTAGCTTGAAGTGTGTCAGTCTCGTCTACGATGAACTGATCCGCATCCTTGGCCAGCTGCTTAACAAGAACTCTTTCCGAAGGTATCCTGCTCTGAAGGAGAAGCTGCACCAGGTCGTTGTGTCCTTCTTCAAGAAGGCAATGGAGCCTACCAACAAGCTTGTCAGGGACCTTGTCGCCATGGAGTCCGTTTACATCAATACCGGCCACCCAGATTTCATCAACGGTTCGCGCGCTATGGCGATTGTGCACGAGCGACACAACAGCAGCAAGCCTCAACAAGTTGACCCCAAGACTGGAAAGCCCCTGCCGCCGACCGTACCCCCACGATCCATCTCACCCACACTCGACTCCGGCGAGGGCGGTGGCTTCTTCGGCTCTTTCTTCGCTAGTAAGAACAAAAAGAAGATGGCTGCCATGGAGCCTCCGCCACCTACCCTGAAGGCATCTGGCACTCTGTCCGAGAAGGAATCCCAAGAAGTCGAGGTCATTAGTAAGTAATCTCAGATGCGTCGGCCTGGTCCAGCATGCTAACTAGTCACAGAACTACTGATCACATCCTACTTCAACATTGTCCGCCGGACAATGATTGACATGGTCCCCAAGGCCATCATGTTGAACCTCGTGCAGTGGACAAAGGAGAACATGCAGGGAGAGCTGCTCACCAACATGTACAAGACGGATGAGCTCGACGAGCTGCTGAAGGAGTCCGAGTACACGGTCAAGAGGCGGAAGGACTGCCAGCAGATGGTGGAGAGTCTGACCAAGGCGCAAGAGATTGTCAACCAAGTGCAGTAGAGGAGTGCTTTGGCGAGCGGGTCTTGTTCACTTCTATGGGTTTGGCATTCTGTGTAAGGTGTTCTGGGTGCTAGCATACTAGATTTCGTCCTAGTCTGCCCGTGTCATAGGTGCCGGATGAGATATGCATGCAGTCATTGTTACGAATTTACTGAAATACACGACATCGGGTACTTTTGCGTGCATTGAGGGGACGACCATGGTGTGATGATGTGGGCACCGCGGAGATGGTGCACGGGCCAAGCGAGCATCTCGAAAAGTCACCATGCAACTCGGATGCCCGCCTCTCCAGCAACAGAGCGGCCATGCTGCTCCCACGGATATTCGCGCCCGTCCGCGCGTCGATAGCGACGTCTGCGGCGTTTATTGCGCCCTCTACTCGTGTCATTGACGCTCTCCGCGTGGCCAATGGCTCTACCGCGCCCGCACCAGTTCTTTCGTTCGTTCGACATTCGGCGCATCAGGCCCAAGGACGAGCCAACGGAGCCAAGGACGGCCCGGGTAAACGATTGGGAGCGAAGAAGAGTGGAGGTATGCTTCGTTAGCAGAGTTCGATAAACACGTCGAAAGCTGACCGACTTGAACCAGGCGAATATGTGATTCCGGGCAACATTATCTTTCGCCAGCGAGGCACATCATGGTTCCCCGGCGAGAACTGCAAATTCGGGCGCGACCACTGCATCTTTGCCACCGAGTCTGGCTACGTACGATATTACCGGGATCCACGCAAGCACCCCAACAGACAATACATTGGCGTTGCTCTTGAAAAAGACCACAAATTGCCGTACCCTCCGAACGCCGCTCGACGGCGACGCCTGAATATGCTCGCTGTGCCCATTACGTCCTCGTCAAAACCATCTGCCGACGCAGTTGTCGTAGCAGAGCTGCAAGTCGGCGACGCAACGGGCAGCCCCAGCAGCATCCGCGAAACACCCCGGGAAACGGCCAACAAGGGCCTGCGTCTGACCACAGGCAAGGGGTATGCGTACCGCCAGGCCAACTGGGAGATTGGTCGTGCGGCGGAGCGGGCAGGCGTCAAAGTCAAGGAGTTTGTGCCTGGAGACCGATGGACGGCGTGGCGGAAGAGGAATATCAGGATCCAGGCCAACATGGAGAGGAAGAGGCTTAAGAATGCGGGTAAGAAGGCTAGCAAGCCCAAGGCGAGGAAGAGCCGTGCTTAGACACCATTGCTATTGGAGAGAGAGAGAGCATGTTATTGAGAAATGGCATTCGTCACGGGCTGTATGAATATATGTACATATATGGCGCCTCGATTCCACAAATGTGCCTTGGTAGTGGTATGTGTAAGAAGTCAAGAAACTACAACTCACCACCTTGTCTCATCTTGTCTACAGTACAGTCGAACAAAACACTCTCAGAACTTGAACACTTTGCTAGTCTTCAATTTCGCCTTCTTCAAACTTCCTCACCCAGCGAAATACACCCTCGCTCGGATCCATGATGCACGCAAAATGCGTCACCTCATTGCACACGGGATACGCCTCTATCCACCTGCGCAGCGTCGCCAGCGCCACGCCCTTTGCCGCCGTCTGGCCGCGCATCGTCTTGCGTGTTTGCCGCTGATTCCACGCCTCCCATTTCCGGCTTAGACACTGTTTCCGCTCGATGCTTTCGTCGAGGATCTCGCGCATGCTGGATTGCAGGAACGCATGTTTCCGCGTCTGACTGTTTGCTGTGGTGGTGGTGGAAGTGCAGGAGGGCGTTTCAAATGCCACGTCGTGGTTGGTGGTTGCGAGGAAGGCGGATGAGCGCAGGATGTTTGCGGTGCGGAAATCCTTTTCTAGCACGAGGGTTTCGGTGGGCGTGCAGAAGATGAGGTAGGCGACTGGCGTGGGCAGGGTGGGGAAGACGCTGAGGACTGTGTTTGTGGAGTACGGTGGCAGTATAGTGGGTATCTCGATCCTTTTTTCTTCTTTCTCTTGCTTTCTCTGTTTCGCTTTCTTGTTCTTGGATAGTTTCGTCCTCGGTCTCGTTCCACCACCAGCACCAGGCCGCGGAATCAAGCACTCTCTCAGCAGTGCCGAGATACTAGGCCGTTGTCCCAGCACCACCAAAACCGTGTTCCAGTAATACGCCAGGTTCGACAGGGTAAACGACCCCAATGCATTGTGGTACGGCCGGAAATTCAACGACACGCTTAACCCCTTCCTCACGCCCGTCAGTACGCCCACGAAGCCGACATAGCCCACCGTGCGAGCAACAACATGGCCACCTTCATGCTCGACGAATTCAAACTGCACAATCAAATCCCGCAGCAACGGCATCGACCAGTCCAGCGTCCGGAAATGCAGCATTGTTGCACTGTTGTCATCGTCGTCATCATCATCATCTTCTTCTTCTTCTTCACCTACGCCTCCCCTGCGCCGCGGCCGCCCATTCTTGACTTTGATGCCCCCGCTCGTGCACCCGAGGAGCAAGTCGAGAAAGACGTTGTACGCAATGAGCAGGTACATTGGCAAACCGCATGCTTTGCTGATGCCACGGAGTTCTTCCGTGTGCTCGCGGCTGTGCAGGCGCCGCAGCAGTATGCGGCCGAGCAGGTGGAAAAACCATGCGGGGAGACCGAGGTGCGATGTTGCTTCTGAGTAGAGTTTGGGGATTTGGCGCAGGCTGGCGGCGTGGGATTGCGCTGCGAAGGTGTAGCGGTCCGACGGGGGGAGGGATAGGTTGATGGTGTAGATGGGGGGCGTATTGGTGGAGGCCATGGGATGGGTTGGGTTGGGTTATGGCGAGGATCAGGGTTAGTGTTGTCTTTGGGTTGTTTGTTTGGATTGAGGTGCTGTTGGTGGTGTGGTCATTGGGTGTGGGTGTAGGGCGGTTGGCGATGGAGTTGAGCTGGGGAGGAGCAGTTTGGGAAGGAACATGCGACTATTATCCGACAGGCTTTAAATCAACATCATCCATTCTTGCTGTGGTATTCCTCGGTTCTGGAGTCTGAAAAGTAGTGGGTGCTGGCTTATTGTGTATCCAACAGTTCATGGCGGCGTGCACGTTCCTATGTTGGCTGCCTAGAGTGGAGGCTTGGCTGAACCATAGTGTAGTCATTGGATCTCCTCTTTAAAGAAACAATCATGGTCAACCATGGATAATTCACGACTTGTTTAGGGAAAAGACGGAAGAGCCAGTCAGAGCGGTTGGAAGGAAGAAGAGTACCAAGACACGTGCGATGCATGCAGACTGCACCAGGAATAGTAAGTAGTTGGACTAGCGCCCACGTGGCTACACGCGCAGATCTGGGCTAATCTAACCCGACTTTGGAATCTTAATCTGGACGAGAACTGGTAGAAGGATTTAGGATTGGTAAGACGAAGAGTGGTTATGGACATCACGTGATGTGCACGTATGAAAAGCTTCCTGAATGAGAGCTTGATTCGTCTACTTGGTACTGCCAATCCATTATCTTGTGTGCCCTATGCGTTCACGTGACATGCAACTCAGTCGTAGTGTCCAGCTAGTGCTGCAATCGATTCGCTGACATGGCTCTTTTGTTCTACTCGAGCCGATCTGAAGAAGCCTACATGATCGCGATTAGGCTACTTCAGTAGTGAATAGGCGATGACCGAACCGGGAAAGCCGGAAATACCGCTGTTTGCAACACCAGCATTGCAATGCCTTGATATTTTAATCTGAACAGGAGAATAAATACATGGGAAGATATACAATAGCAAAACAGGTCATACAACTGTTGTCAAGCTGAAAGCCAGCGCGGCTTGGTCGATATCTAGCTGTTCTATTTCCCAGATGCGTGAGAGAGGTACTTACTTAGGGGTTAGAGCCGCACGGTTCCAGTTTGCAGCTCTCCGCAATCCGCAGCTGCACCTCGGCATCTTCCCCGCGGGATTGCTTAACCGGTGCATGCCATCGTTAATGTCGACGTCGAACATGTATAAATCCATATTTGTTCTGCGCTTGGTCACAAGAAGGCATTTCAGACGACCCACATAACACGAGCAGTTAGCAGAGACACTTTATCCACCATGACGGCACCTCAACCGCCTCCGCTCGCCAACATTCGCGTCCTTGAGTTCGCAGGACTCGCTCCAGGTAGACACCATATCCGCTCATACTATTGGTAAAGAGCCAGACTGATATCGTACAGGCCCTTTTGCTGGCATGCTCCTTGCCGACTATGGCGCAACCGTTCTCCGTCTTGACCGCGCATCCGCCACGCATTCCTCCGACCAACTCACGCGCCGCAAGACGTCGATATGCGTAGATATCAAGTCTCCTGCTGGCCTGGAGCTCATCAAGAAGATCATACCACAAATCGATGTCCTGATTGACCCGTTTCGCCCTGGTGTGCTTGAGAAAGCAGGCCTGGACCCAGAAAAGGTGCTCCTGCGACTAAACAAGCGGCTGATTGTCGCGCGGATGACGGGGTTCAGGCGAGACGGGAAATACGCGCACATGGCCGGTCACGATATCAACTACATTGCAGTATCCGGCATTCTGAGCATGTTCGGAAGGCAGGGCGAGAGACCGTATCCACCGTGCAACGTGATTGGCGATTTCGCAGGAGGAGGCTCAATGTGTTTTATGGGTATACTGCTTGCACTTCTCGCACGTGAGCGCAGCGGCTTCGGGCAAGTCGTAGAAGCCAACATGGTGGATGGCAGCGCTATACTCGCGACTATGCCGCGATTGGGCCTGAAGACGGAGGCCTGGAAGCGCGAGCGAGGCACCAACATGCTCGATGGCGGAGCGCCTTACTACGACACGTACGAGACCAAGGATGGCAAGTACATGGCTGTTGGCGCTATCGAGCCGCAGTTTTACGCTGCGCTGCTCAAGGGCATGGGACTCAAGCCATCAGACCTTCCTGGCGACCGAGACAATATGGCGGATTGGCCCAAGCTCAAGGAGTTTTTCACGGCAGAGTTCAAGAAGAAGACGCGTGCAGAGTGGGAGGCCATCTTTGATGGTACAGACGCGTGCTGTACGCCTGTCTTCACGCAGGCAGAATTGGAGGAACAGGGATTCGATCAACGACCTGCTGTCACGTTGAAGACTTCGCCGGGTCACGCGATTCATGAGGGCAGCGACGAAAGAACTGCGGCTGAAGGTCAGGGCATCGGATGGCAGGGCAGTGGGTGGACTGAGAAGGGGTTGAAGCCTGGTAGTGGAGGAGAGGATACGCTGAGTACGTGGATGGGATGGACTAAGGGGAGGCAATATGTTGAGGAAAAGGGCGGGCTGGTTTGGAAGGACAATTCGAAATTGTAGTTGGAGTTACTGGCTTGATCAAATTGCCTAGTATCACTGCATTTGATTATGAATATGGCCCAAGGTTTCTTGTTCATGCCTGTATCCTGTCATCTCGTGAGAGTCCAGACGATACCGCGAAGCTCCACATTGGAGGCTGGAAGTGGAAGCCTCGGCCTCTGAGCGGGAGCTAGTATTAGTGCCGTTTGCCGCTCCACCTCGCATCTTCCCACATTCGCGGAATCCACACCTCCTACTCTCCGTCTTGGACACCGACAAATTTTTCAGAAGCGCCAGGGTCATGCTGCCAATTGCGTTTTCATAAAAGGGGCCAGAGTGTAGCCATAACACGAAAATGTCTAGCTCGCTACTATGGCAACACACAAGAGATCGCGGACCGGATGCTGGACATGCAGGGAAGCTGGCTACAAGTGCGACGAACAAAAGCCCTTTTGTGGCCGCTGCATGAGACTGAAAATCACATGCAAAGGATATGGCGTCAGGTTGAAGTGGCAGGACGATGCTGTCAACACGCCAGCAAAACCACCGCGAAAGAGTCGGAAGAAAAAGGTCATTGAGCAAGATTATGCTTTGAGCCCGGTATCCGTGAATACCTTTACGTCTACGCCTTTGTTTGGTTCTAGCCCCAGGGATACGGTCTCGTCACCAGGATCAGCGAAAAGTCTACCGGTGCTACCAATCCACGCCCCTGAGCTGTCCTACGGTATATCATCAGATGATAGATGGCTTCTCAATTACTGGGTAGATCGGCTTTCCACCCTGATATCTGTGGCTCCCAGCACCGGCATCTTGACCCCCTTCCAGCGCCACCTCACAGCTATGGCTTATGAATCTGCTGCGCTCAGGTCTACGATCCTTTCAATGGCAGCAAACCATCTTTCAACATCATCAAACGATCCATCCCTGTATTTGCAGAGATATCGCCATCAGCGAGACGCTATTCTGGAATTGCAACGAATGATTCAAAATCCATCTGAACTGAACGCCGAGTCGGCTCTGGCCACTGTCATGATGATGCAAGTATCCGCTCGACTCTTTGGCGAAGACGACGAAGCGCATGTTGCAAATCACTTGACGGGTGCAAAAGCAATGATAGTCCGTAGTCAAGGAGAGAACTGGTTGGCTACCTCAAGCGCACGCTTCCTCATGAGTCTGTTTGCATATCACGACATTTTATCGTCTGTTTCGAGAGGATCTAGCCCCTTGCTGGATCACGAGACGGACTTTACAGCCATCGAGGGAGAGCAAAGTCTGGCGAGCATTGCAAATGTGCTCCTGATAGTCGCCCAGATTAGCCAACTGCAACACACGATTAAGATGAGAAGATTGCAATCGCCAACAGGCCCCGCTCTATCGGAAGATGAAAACACGACTGGCCGGCATATTCAACAGAAGCTGCTCGCCATGGACTTTACCATCTGCAAGCAAGAAGACGCACTGAAAACCCCTGACATCAACCGGACAGCTGAAGCGTATCGTCATGCAGCTTTCATCTACCTCTACCGTACCTGGCTTGATATAGGTGCTCCAAATCCAATCAGCATGGATCACATCGACCAGTGCCTAGCTTACCTGCAAAATGTCGATGTTTGTTCGCCTTTGACTACCGCCCATATATGGCCACTCTTCACCGCTGGGTGTGAAGCTATCGACAACACACAGCGAGAATTTGTCCGAGATCGCTTCGAGAAAATGTATGCATTCAAGCGCTTTTCAAGTTTGCGAAGAGTCATGCGTGATATTGAGCACGTGTGGGTGGCAAAGGACATGGAGCAGCAGACCAAAGGTCAGGATGGTATGGCCAAGGTCGACTGCATACAGGTCATCTTGAAGAGAAAAGGGCGGGAGGTAGACCTGGCTTGATGGATTCAATTTCGAGACTGGAACATATACCAGCTGAGCACTTCAATCGTATTCTGGGACATGTTTACGACCCCAAAGGGTGCGCGGCTGAAGCGTCTGACACCAAATCTTCCAGAAACCAGAATTCAAGATCATGCTGGACTTGCTGCACCAGACGACAATTGTTGGACACGAGGACAGTCCAGTTGCAGCGGCAATGACGAGCTGCATACAGCACCAGCACGCCTATGCCGAGCAAAAAGAGCTTGGGTTGACGACGGCAAGGATGGGTGACAAGCTGTCATGGAGCCTTATGTGGCAGACGATGGGATATATGATGCGGCTCAAGCATCAGGAAGACGAGTATCTGGGGCGCGGGCTATACTCGAGTGCGCATGGTTGCTACTATCAGGCGAGTACTCTGGACCAGGGCTGGCTGGAAATGGCACCACCACCTGCGGACGAGTTGATATTGACATTACAAAGCAACATCTATTTATATTTTGGAATCTCGCTAGCATGCAACACGGCCATTGCATATCTTGCCTTGTTTGCTGCTATGCGACGCTTTGAGAAATCCAAACACATCTCGACGGCAAGGAACGCCCAGATGAAGACGCTGAGGACTTTGGCGCGTGGGGCCGTTTGTGTTGCGCCGTTCAGATGGGCGATACATAAAGAGTATTTTCCACCCCTGTTGCAAAACGAGATCACGTTCCTCGCACAAGTTAAGCTCATGGAGGGCAATGTAGTCCACAACCCTCGCGATATCGGCTTTCATATTGCAGATGGCCGTATGCGGAATCGGGACGTGCGTGTGTTGGGAGAAGAGGCTTCGTATAGATGGTGTTTTTCCGGGTCGTTCGTCAGCGGTTTTTCGCCTCTAAACCACGAACCATCCATCTCAAACGCGTTCACGCGCGCGCAAAAAAAAACAAATATCTTCCCCGTGAAACAAGCCATGGACACCGACAGCGCAAACATCAACACTCTTTTCACAGCGCAATCATCCAGCCCGTCTACACGACATGTAGAGGGCGAGGGTATGTACAGCTCCTATGACACCGCCTGCGCAACCAAAAAAAATGCGCAGCCAGCTCTAATGGAGCAACTGGTAAGACTTCCTTCTCCGCAGCGCTATATCGCAGCCGCCCAATGGATATAACTCGAGGCGCGCCGATTACAAGACGTAACGGCGCAGGGTGAGAATGGGTGGCTGAACTGTCTGATGGTGCGTTGGAGAGAGGAAGAGAGAGTCGGGGGGAGACAAATTTGCGAAAAGGTTTGCTGGAGAGGAGTGGCTTGGCGCGCTAGGTCTGTGTGGGTTTAGCGTGGTGGGGATGAGGCTGGGAGTGGGGGCCGAGGCTGGGGCTGGGGCTGGAGCAGAGGTTCGCGTCTTGGAACCAGCATAGTAGAGTTGAGATGTGCTTAATAAAAGGGCCGTGTTTGGACTACATTAAGGGAGAAGTGCAATGAGTGAATAATCTGCTGGATGGACGGAACAGGAAGAAGGCCTTTGGTGCTGAGTCTGCAGTTTGGGGTGCATGGCGCTGAGATACCACCATACAGTAGTAGCCCAAGACAGTGATGCAGGTAAGACGCGACACTCTTTACTATTCCGCAACGCCTGTGGAGCAAACTGTCTATACTGGCTTTTCATATTTCCGCATAAGGAACATTAGATAATCGCTGTTCGCACTGAGCCGCTTATTCATGTGCTTGCAAAAGCACTGCCAATTACTAATTTGCATGCGCCTCCCGGCAAGCGCATGAGCCGTGCTGCCGGACGGGTACATGGATATTATCAATTATCAGCTGCAAACTCCCCGAGGTGCTGTGTTGATGAGCCATGTTCTTTTTTGCCTCTGTGTTGTTACATACATACAGCAAAAGGCCCTGTTCAATCGCTCGCTTGTTCGCACACTTGGCAAATGACACGCCTCGCCACGTGCGGCCGTAGCTCCCGCGCTGTCCCGTATCATTCCAACGCGCCTCTGCACTGCGCATGAGAATCGCCACTGTCATGGCGTGCGGTTTCGAAGCACCATTCTACCATTTTCTTTGCGGCGCGTAGTCCCTGTGTTCGTGTGAGCGTGTGTATGCGTGTCTATGTTCAACGCTCCTGTCTTATTCTTAACATGTATAAAAGACGGGGGAGGCTCACTTTGTTGATGACACGACCGCAGTAGTATTGTTACTACGTACTACTATTTTATTATTATTACGCAAGCGAGCGCCATCTTGATTACACACTCGCCATGGATCGCAAACATACACCTAGTTTCAACTTTGTCAATCTCCAGCACCCCGATGACCTCAAGAGTGAGGAGACGCAGCTCCGCATCCGCCGCCTGGCCATGACCGAGGTCGGCAAGGCGAGGAGGAAGCCCAAGACGAAACGCGCTCGGCACGAGATTTTGCTCGAGTTTCGGAGCCCGCCCGAGAGCCGTGTGGATATTGATCGCTTTGGTGGCGGTCAGCTGGACCCATTTTCCCCGTATCCCGTACAGCTCGATGATTCAGATCGAGCATTGCTAGCCAACGGTACGTGGTCCCCCTACACCTGTCTGTCTGTTTCTTTGCTGACATGGAACAACCAAAACAGTCTTTGTCACTGAAGACAACAACCATCCTACCGTTCTGCGGGGATCTTGGTATCCCGTTGGACTTAGTAATCCCGCCGCCTTCTACAGCATGCTTTCCAACTCGCAGAATTTCTTATTCGCCAGAAAACATGGCTACTTTCCTTCTCAGGACGACAATGTTGCGCTAAAGTATCATCACAAGGCTCTTCGCCACACCCTTAAGCAGTTACAGGACCCAGAGGCGCATCAGAGTGAAGAGATCATAGGCTGCATAGCTGCCTTTATGATACATCATGTAAGCAGACAATGGCGGAGCGAACAGACCGGCGGGCAACTGACACATGTTAGACTTTTCTAGGCAATTTCACAAGCAATGAATGGCAAAACCATGCCAATGCTTTACTAAAAGTCGTGGCGCTAAGAGGTGGCTATGATACTATTACGACGGAACATTTCCGAATCACTGTGAGCTGGTAAGTCACGTGCGCCGCAAACATGGCCGAGCGTGTCATGCTAATCCATGACCAGGGCAGATCTGTTAGCGAGTTTCTTTCAGGACACTAGCCCTGTTGTTCCAATGCCGTCGAAATGGATTGTAGACTCGAAACTGGCGCCAAACATGCCGCGGCCCTACAATCGCATCTCCTTGTCGTGGAAGAAGCGACTACCCAGGTGGCTGGATTGGGTCTCCATCTTTGATGATATCGTCCAGATGATATCGTTGGACCAGACGTTCAACGAGAGACAACTCATGCTAGCTATCACGAGCGGAAGCTGGACAGAGCCGACCCTGTACCGCCTCCTCTCTATACGGCCATTGGAAAACGGCAGCAGCTGGGAATACGTCATGGAAGAGGTTTGTCGGCTGGGTACACTGCTTTTCCTGGCGCCGATATGGAGAGCGCTGGGCCAAACGCCAGTAAGGACTGCCATGATGTCGCGCAAACTGCTGCTTGTCCTGGTGGAAAACATGGGTGAATGGAACGAGCTGAAGCCCCTGCTCGTCTGGGCACTCTACTTCGCCGCCATCGAGACGCAAGATTTGGGAGAGCGCAGCCAGTTTGTCTTGATGCTCGGCATTGTCATGAATGGCATGCACCTGCAGGAATGGGAGGAGGTCATGGAAATCGTCAAGGACGTCTTGTGGGTAGAAAAGGTGCTCGCTGGCACTGATGAGCTCATTCGAGACGAAGTTATGCAGATTGCGCATCAGCAACAACAACAACAGCAGCAGCAACAACAATTCGCTGTGAGCACCCCTGGCTCAGACGGGTATTCCGTCTGACTTGCTGGAGTTTATTTGGCAGCGGACCTCGAATCGCGCTAGTTCTAGATTAGGAATGAGGACCCCCCTGCCATTGCAGCAAACGCTCCATATTTTTGGTTACAACTTACGTCGTGCCGCCACCATCTTGGGCTGTCCTATCAACTCCCTGCAAAAAAAACCCCCCCACGATGCAATCTCTTGGCGTAATGTCTGGCACTCAGTGCTGAGTGGCATCGTTTCGCTTTTCTAGAATGCTGGAGAGAGAGCAGAGTCATGATTATGTGCCCTCTGTACGAATTGGGACTTGCGGTGGTTGTATTAGAAATATACAACGGCTGCAAGGCAAGATATAAGACGTCTTGATGTGATAGCAACTGGAATACCCCAGCAATCTTATCCAGTGAAGACGATATACTTGCTACAGAAGTTTACTTACTTACCTTGATTTCATCACTTATCCTCAAAGAAACCATGGAAAACCTTCCAGTTGACCACTTCGTCAAAGCCCAGCAATTCGTCCCCATTGTCCATCGGGATTTATATCCCGCCATCGATCCCACGCAAAGCGCGCTTTCTCAAAAGGGCAAAGTCATCATCGTCACTGGCGCGAGCCAAGGCTTGGGAGCCCGTGTATGTTTGCAGCCAGGGGCTTGCTCTCCGTCGCTACAAATAGTATAGCTAACAAACTTTACCATACCAGGCTTTTGTGCCGTCCTTCGCTGCCACAGGCGCAAAAGCAATCGTCCTTGTAGCGCGTCGGCTGGAAAAGCTCGAACAAGTCGCCAAGATTATTGCGGCTACACATCCCCACGTGGAAACACTCCCTGTTGCTACCGACATCGCGGACCCGCAATCCGTGGCCGCGCTCTTCGAGCAGATCAAGCAGAAATACGGACATGCTGATGTCCTCGTTAATAATGCCGGTCTGTTCAAAGCCATTGGTCCAGTCAAGGATGTCGACCAGGCTGCGTGGTGGGACGAAATGGTACGTGCCATGATACAATCTTTCACGTACAGTCCTTAACAACTACTAATGTACATAAGTAGACGCTGAATACCCGCGGCACATTCCTCATGACTCAGTCTTTCCTCACACACCTGCCGTCGCCTGACTTCCCAGCCAAAATCATCACGCTGACCACCGGCGCCGCGTACGAAGTCTTCCCCGGCCTCAGCGCCTACGGCATCTCCAAGCTTACTGTCCTCGAACTCATGACATATGTCGCCGCTGAGAACCCTACTGTCTTTGCCGTGGCCCTGCATCCCGGTGTCGTCGACACGGAAATGACGATTGAATCTTTCAAGAGGTTTGCCCTGGATACCCCCGAGCTTGTTGGTGGTATTGGCGTCTGGCTGGCGGGCTGGGAGGGCGTCGATCGAAAGTTCCTGCGCGGCAGGTTTGTAAGCGCGAATTGGGATGTCGATGAGTTGGTTAAGAGGAGAGAGCAGATTGAGAGTGAGGGGTTGCTTAAGATGGATTTGAAGGCGACGTTGGGCGCGGAACAATTTATGGTGTAGTTGGATAGATGCGTTATACACTAGTTATGGGATACTTGGACACGTATTTCTTTTGGGGACTTGGTAATGAATAATGCGGTTTGTGGTGCAATCATGTCGCGCGTCCGCCTGATATCTCAACGCTGTACCCTTGGCCGACTTATCCTCATCTCAGAGTCCGTCGCTCTTTGTGAATAATTTCAAAACGACCACAGTTTTCACGTCAAAATACTAACTGCAACCAGCTAACGTCTGGCACCTGAACTTCCTGGACTTATATATCGACTCACCTGCCCCTGCCTGAACCACCATGGCTTTTCAACAGCCTGAGCGCCTGGAGACGATGCAACCAGATATCTCAGATCAGATAATCGGGGAACCAATGAATATCTACAACACCAATTGCGCGAAGAAAGAGAATGGAGAGGGAACTCAATTCGCCAACAAATGTCCAGTCCGAATCTCGCATTGTCAAAAAAAGCTCACACGCCCCTTCAGCTCGTGCTACCTGATGAAAAGCTGCTTGAGTCTCAGCTACCCGCTCATGTTTTCCGCGTCGATGTGCTGCATGCCATCTTCCAATGTGACATCAACGGCTTGGGGCGCGGGTCTGCGAAAGCCTTGAAATAGGGGCTGGATCTCATTACTCGGAGCGAGACATACGTTGACCAGATGCCGCAGAGTCAAGACACGAGATTTTTCGACGCAACGTATAAGATGCATATGATATTCAGTCTGGATTCTGCACATGAGGACTCGGCTTGCGCGGTTCTGTCCATCTATGAGGAGTGGTTCTGCACCCACCTCAAGCCCGTCACGTGGCGCGTGCATGGGATTTTTGTGCCGCAGGCGCTGCGGGACAAAGGCTTCTTGAAGAAGATGAATGAGTCGCTTATGGACGACGAGGGGCTCGAGGAGTATCTTGCTGTTGATACGTTCAAGGTTGAAGAGGGCACGCGCGGAGATTACTACCTTCTCTGAGTTGGGCTTGGATTCTTCGATCGACAAGGGAAGAGTTTCATTTTGTAAATATGAAGTTTGAAAACAGCGGCAACCGTTGGAACTGCACTTTTCAGGGCAGTGTTGCGAGTCGAAATCAGGGCGTTTGAAGGACTTGCGCATTCGGGAACGTCGAGTGTAAAAGGTATGGGTACTTTAATGATGCTGCGCAAGAAAAAAAAAATAGTCGCCGTGTTCGAATGCACCTTGTTTCCTGTTTAATGAAGGCTCTCCAAGTTATGTGAAGAGTGTGTGACACCGTCAGTATACCAGCCCGCTGTTTTTTTTGTTGCGCTGTGCTGCTGGAAGCTAACGTTTCACGACCTGCAAACCCAAACCGCATAATGGATTCAGCACTCGCCGACCCCCTGGCGCCATTCCCACGGACTGGCAAGTTCGGAAAGAAGACTAGATTCTCCGCAAACCTGCTGGAGTTCCTGTATGATCTGCGTATCGTGATATGGGAGTGCCTAAGCACCCAGGTTCTTGTTCTGTTATGCGCAGCCTCAGCCTGCCTCGTTATGGCTACTGCGCCGCATTTTGCAGGCCGTCATAGCCGAATTCTTTGTTTTGTGTTTGTCTCGGTGTCATTTTACCGCCGGTTGTTCGGTATCGTGGCGGAGTTGCGCAGGCAGCGGCAAGCCAAAGGCAAACAGGCGTGTTGCAGCCACCAAAGCAGAATCCCTATCATGAGGTTTTTCCTGCCGAGGCCCGTCCTCAGGTGTATAAGAGGTGCCTTGGATCGCGGCGAGTTTTTTGCCTCATCATCAGCATCGCTCTCACTCTCCCACTCTCTTCTATTCTTCCAAAGCCAGTCTTTTCCGCCGGTCGGTTCTTCACTTCTATAATTGTCCCTGACAAATACATACATTCGCATTAAAACATTATTACATTCTCCACGTCTATATCACCAAGAACCTACCATCCAATCTTTTTGTTTTATCTCAAAATGAAGTTCACCACCACCGCCGTCATCCTCGCCATCTCTGCCCTCACGGCTGCCATGCCACAGGGCCCCAATGCCAACCGCCCAGTCCCCACGGGCAACTGCTGCATCGCCAACACGAGCTTGAAGGAGGATGTTTGCAATGTCGACGGCCAAAGCGGTCGCTGCGTTCCTGACGGTAGCAAGGGCTGTAAGTCTTGAATTTGGAATACCTTTGAAACTAAACAGGGCTGAGGCTGACGATGACTTTAGGTGACACCCGTCTGACTTGCATTGCAGACAGTGACCTCACTTGCGATCCTAATGTTCTGGAGCGTGGCCGCCCCAAGTGTCGTCGCACTGGCGCTTAGACGCCGTTCTGGTCGAGTTTGAATGTTTTTCTTGTTTACCTCTGTGCTTGATAGGTGGTGATGGGATGTGCATGGGAAGGACCTTTTTTGTGTCTATTAGCTAAAGATTAGTCTGAATTGGAAGAGGGAGAATGTGAGTGTGAGAGGATGCAGAGAGGCGCTGTAATAAGCCTAGTTCTGGTTGTAGTATAGACTACGCCTTACAACAATAAAGATGCTATTATGCTGCATGAGTTTCGCTATTTCATATGAAATTATTTTGGATGACTATCCATCAAAATGGCAACTTCTTACAGAAGACCCCAATCGCATTTCGCCTCGATTCGAGAATCAGAGACTGCTTAAGGGCATGGATCTTTGTTACTGACGGCTGAACAGGGACCGTGTTGGCTAAAAAAAAATCCATTTTTGCGAAGATGCTACGACTCATATACCCATTGTGCATCCCAACAAAGTCCACAACAATAACCGTTTGGGTTCTGATATTGTAGCTTTGTGATGGCTATCGAAACCCAGCTGGATGATGCGAAGTGTAACGAACACTATGCAGATGAAGCCACTACCAAAGTATACATAGATCCCTACTCCTGCCTCTAGGGTATTTGCGGGTTCCATGTGAGACGTGTAGGAAGGAACGCGACTTTTACGCCAAGTAGAATTATTCGGGACTACATTAATATTTTAGAACATACTTGCTAGGTCGGCGGCTACATCAACAGCGTACGCAAAGTAGAGGCTGAAGATGATTCTCCAAATCTCATTGGGGTGTGGCCGCATTTGCCTTTCGAGAACTGTGTATTGAGACTGTAACACGTGACAATGCTACTTGTCACAATGCAAATCCATGACTAAGTAAAGCACGTTAACACTAACCGTGATGATTGTGGAACAACCACAACGCAACAATTAACCACGAAGCAAAAGGCTATAATGGCTCACCATGTCTTGTTGTAAATACTGGGCTGACTTATTAATAATATCCAACAGAGGTTCAATAAGAACGTCTCGCAGCTCGAATGGTCTTCCTTTAGCAAGCTAGCGGTTGGGACGCAACGGAATGAGCAACAAAACGAGGATGAGCATGGGTGCTTTGTACAGACTAGCTCAAGTCTAGTGATGGATATCTTAAATAATAGAGGCATGGAACTCAATGTCTAAGATTGATGGCTCGGAGTGTCATGCTTAGCACTGGAGGTCTTGAGCAGCTTAGAGTGGCTGGGAGAGTGGCTGGTTGCGTATTTGGAGATTCGGGACTGGAATCCTTCGTACCTGATGTACATATGTCACCGTATATTGAGGGGATCCATAATCCAGAACTGAAGATCCCTGGGACTATCTCCAACGGGATCTGAAGTCAGCTAAGGATGTGTGAGCTAGATTCTTGTTCAACGAGAGATTGAAGTGGTGGCCCAACACCGCACATGCCAACTATATGCCTAGCTGTGTCGTTTTTTTGACTCTATTTTATTGTCCCTCAAAGTTATGTTTTGACGATTTGTTCAGTTCGAAATGGCTGATAGCCGTTCAAAACGAATACTGGAAATATGCCACCGATAACAAGGTGTTAGAACTCAACATGGGGCTTGAAAGCACCCTATTCCACCAAGACTTCAGAAGAGAACAAAGATTGGCCGATTCCCATGTCAGTATCGTATCGCATATTGATGAGAGTAAGCGATGGCTCCCAAGGAATTGTTTGCCGGAACAAGCACCTGATGGGGCAGCCGTATATTTCTTGGCCATGTTGCGGGGCCGCAATCAGGCGGCTGATTGGCTATGTAGCCATCAAGATCCAAGAGTGCATTGAACGCGGCTCGAGGAGGATCACACTAGTCGAGAGACGAATGTATATGTATAGTGTCCCGATAAAGGCTCTTCATCGTAGGGTATGTGCCTAGTGGAGGGTGAAAACAAACGCAACCTCGATGGAAGTTCTGGTTGGCATTTCTCCCAATACATAGCCCCGGTTCCGGTCAACAAGAAGCATGAACTGGAAGGTTTTTGCCGTGAGTATGCACATTCGATGAGACAAAACCGAGCCGACACCCTCGCCTGAACGGCAATATCGCTGCGTTCCATAAAACTTGGCATTCAGGGTTCCTTGGCGCTGCCTAGACAAGGCCGCCAGTCCACGGGTTACACCAGTTCTGCTTCTCTCCACTATCGTCTCTTTCCCGTGATCTATCATTGTAAATTATGTGATTACTATTGCTTCTAGACCATGGCCAGCTTGGATGAAGCCAACCTGCGAGATCTCCAGCAGCACTGAATGCCGCAAAGGGGGTTTGCTACCCAGCAAAGTCCAACTTTGGTCCCACTAAATCCAACTCTTCGCCACCACCATGAAGATCCGCATCCTCTGAGTCCAACCACCTCAGACTCTGTATATTGCATGCCGAAGGCTATGGGAGGTCAGCCAAGATGAACCCCGCGCGCAGACGCCAATCCTCTTCTGCGGAGCACCTTCCACTCCTGGTCGCTAAGATACATAATTCAAGTCGTGCTGCTTGTACAATATGGGCTTCGATGTCTTGGAGCCCGCTCAGCTCCCTTTTTCCTCTTACTGCTTCCAATATGAAGGTGCTCCTTCCGCTTAGTACCATTGTCGCAGCTGTTTTGGCGCAAACAGGTATCTTTGAGCCAGGAGGCTTCAATGTTACCGAGGCTTTGATCTCCAATGGGGTCAATGTATCTGCCATCCCAGAGCTCGCCGCCTTGTCGCAACGAACACTGCTTAGTGGTTGTTCAATTGCCGTAAGCTCTCAGTCTGAACTTAACTTTTCCGTCTGGTTTGCTAATTAGTTTCAAGTGCTCTTCCTTGAAGCTCATCTATGGTAGCGACAAACTTCTCTCCGAGAATACATCGTCATATGATACTTTTACTGGTGCCTACTGGAGTATTCAACAGAGCTCAGTTAGCCCACAATGTGTCTTCAAGCCATCCAACACGATTGAGGTATCCTCGCTGATCTTGGTGTCTCGTTTGGCCCAATGTCAATTTGCTGTAAAGGGCGGTGGTCATGCCGCCTTTGCTGGGGCATCCAGCATCGAAAGAGGCATCACTGTCTATATGGAACGCTTCAACCAGGTTGCTGTTTCGAGTGACAAGAAATTCGCCAATGTTGGCGCTGGAACTCGATGGGTCGATGTCTACAGGACGCTCGAGAATTCTGGCGTCAGCGTTGTTGGCGGTAGAGTAAGTCGCCTCCTCATATGCGGGCTTTGTTTCCAATAACAATGGCCCAGATGGCCTCAGTAGGTGTGCCCGGTCTCATTCTTGGTGGCGGCATCTCATTCTTTTCCAACAAGATGGGTTGGGCGTGCGATAATGTCGCAAGCTATGAAGTCGTTACAGCATCTGGCCTCGTCGTGACTGCCACGCCTACCAAATATCCTGACCTGTACTGGGCTCTTCGTGGTGGTGGAAACAACTTTGGTATTGTGACCAACTTCAAGCTCGAGGCTTTCCCTCTCGGCAAGATGTGGGGCGGTCAGCGCATCTTTGCAGAGAACAACTTCAAGGCTGTCCTTGATGCCGTTTTCAACTTTGCCACTGTCGAGTCTTCGAAAGATACTGATGCTGCTGAAATCGTATCCTTTGGCAACTACCCTGGAATTGGCAAGATCGCCATCGTTCAAACTCACTATGCTCAGCCAGTCGCAAATGCCTCTGTCTTTGCTGATTTCAACACACTTACACCTGTAATGGACGACACGGGTGTCAGTTATCTTAGCGATCTTACCATCAAGTTGAACGGCGGTTCGCCTAACGATACGCTCGGCTCCCTACAAACGCAGTGGGACGCTACCTTCAAGGTCGACCGGGAACTTTTCACCTTCCTAGTTGATACTTTCTACTCACTTATATCCAATGTTCAAGATGTCAAGGGTGCCTTCCCAACCATCTCAATCCAGCCTGTCACAGAAGGCCAACTGAAGAGTATGCAGAAAAACGGTGGGAACGCGCTCGGTCTCTCTCCCGCCAAAGGCCCAATATTCATCATGAACATGAGTGCATCGTTCGCTAGCCCCGAGGGCGAGGCCGCCATTTTCAAGTTCTTCTCGACTGTTATTCAAAAGGTCAAGGCTGAGGCAAAGAGCAAGGGTGTGGACAATGATTACATCTACATGAACTACGCTTCTCAGTTTATGGATCCGATCGCTACGTATGGACCAGCTAATGTCGCCAAACTCATCTCTGTGAGCAAGAAATACGACCCAGCGCAGGTGTTCCAGAATTTACATCCTGGCCATTTTAAGTTGGCAAAGGGACCACCAAACCCGAACATGCCATGAGCAGGCCAGCGACACGGCATTATTAGGATCTAGATGAAGACATACGTAAAATTATGATAATGACTCTCCAGTACATCGTCTTCCAGTTGAGACTTCTTGTCTGGAATCACCATCTACACATACTCATGTGTGTAGGTGTCCGAGGCTAAGCTGTTGATGGCGTCTATGGTTGCAGCTTTAATTGTACACTAGAATCCAAAATGTGGGTTTCTGCTGCAAAAAGACATTGGAGTAGACTAGCTCTCGGTATCGCGGCCATTAGTGGTCTAAACTATGCCAAGGTGTTGATGCTGACGTTCTGTAACAGGGATCCTTTGCTTAATCCTACTTACCAACATTGGTAAGAACTGCATCCAATATTCAACCCAGCGTTTACAGGACACCAGCTTCATGACCGCTTTCAGCACGGTAAGTTTTCAATTTTCTCGTAGCTCAGAAATGTATTGTGCACTAGTAGTGGTTCACGCACTAAACAGTTCAAGATGGTTAAAATTCATTGCATTGATCAATTTAGTCTATCGCTTCAAAAATCATAAAACAATTTGTCTTCGTAACCTGCGATCAACGCCATCTCCAGCCCGCCAGGCGCTGCCTTGCTGCGGACCCTTCTATCCACGCTGAGTACCTAGGCCTACTGGCCTTTGATAGCACCGTGGATAGTGAACCCGTCTGAAATAACACCAATGGCTCCAGCGAAGCCCTCAGCGACACTACCAAGTTGACCGAGTCGGCCACGGCGCTGAGGGTCCCGCTTCTCGAATTCTGGAGATAGATCTTCGCTGTCAAGGCCGAGGGTGTAATCTTCTCCCGTGGCGAACCGGTTCACACCATCCCTCTTCACATTCACGGTTCCCGACTTCTTCCCATTTTTTAGCTCCCAAAGGAGCTGGTCTCCCACACTCCCGCCAATAAAACCGATATCAGATAGGCTATGGCGCTGAGGGTCTCGCTTCTCAAATGCTGGAGATGGGTTTTCGCTGTCAAGGCCGAGGGTGTAATCTGCCGTGTCAAAGTGATGTACACCGTCCCTCTTCACATTGCCAGCCTCGTATATAGCATGTCCCTTCGTAGGTCGAGATCCCCGAAGAGCATGTTCGATCGCATTCGCGCTATGAGAATTGTCGAAGGTGGTATCGATTGCCGTGTCAATCCTTTGCACATTCCTCTTCGCAGTTAGACCGTGGTGGAGTTCACCCGTGCTACCGGTAACGTCGCTAAAATAACCCTTCAACGGGTGACCGTCGGGCAACGCGATGTGTCCAGTTTCACGGTCAATCTTAGCATCCCTCTTCTCGACATAATGTTCGTGGGGAACGCCGATCATGACGGAGTCGGGTCTCGATTCAAACTTCAATTCTGCAGCTGACAATGGGCCGATGTGGGCCATAGCATCCCTCTTTGCAGGCTGAGATCCTTGGATAGTATCGTGGATATACATTGCATCGTTAAAGGCGCCGATACCGTCAGTAACACCGTCAACGAAATTACCGAGTCGGCCAAGTCGGCCACGGCGCTGAGGGTCCCGCTTCTCATGGTGAAGGGGTGGAAAGTCGTAGTGGATCTTATTGTAGTTGACCAAATCGTTGATAGTCGAAATATCCCTCTTCGCATTCTGGCCCTGAAGGGTATCGTGGATGTACATGGCATCATTAAAGGCGCCGATACCGTCCGTAAAGCCGTCCACAAAATTGCTAAGTCGACCACCTCGGCCATGGGGCTCAGGGTCTCGCTTCTCTTTCTGGCCGTGGATAGTAAAGTCGTGATCGATCGCTGGAAGAGTTCTGGCGCTACCGTCTCGAGAGAAACGAATGTCATCACCCGCTCGTGTAATTCGGCCACCACTCTGAGGATCCCGCTTCTCTTTCTGGCGGTTGGCAATATCGATCATGTCCTCTGGAGTTCCGGTATACGTGATACTAGGGAAATCACCAAAAACTTGTCCAGCTCGGCCAGGGCGCTGAGGGTCCCGCTTCTGAAATTGGCTGGGGTCAATAACGGGAAAGCTCGCCTCTGGAGGCTCACGGATATCGCTGAGACGGCCAGCGCGGCCTTTTCGTACCTCCCTCTTTGCATTCTGGCCCTGGACGAGTTGGCCAATAGTGATTCCATCAGAGATGGCGCCAATGCCATCAGCGATGCCCTCGGCTACATCTCCAGCTCGACCAGCGCGGCCTTTCCGTGCCTCCCTCTTTGCATTCTGGCCCTGGAAGATTTGGCCAATCGTGATTCCGTCCGAAATGGCGCCAATGCCATCAGCGATGCCCTCGGCTACATCTCCAGCTCGGCCAGCGCGACCTTTTCGTGCCTCTCTCTTCGCATTCTGACCCTGGAAGATTTGGCCAATAGTGATGCCGTCCGAAATGGCGCCAATGCCATCAGCGATGCCCTCGGCTACATCTCCAGCTCGACCAGCGCGACCTTTTCGTGCCTCTCTCTTCGCATTCTGACCCTGGACGGCCTGGTGAATGGTAAACAAATCAGAGACAGCGCCAATGCCACCAGCGATGCCCTCGGCTACATCTCCAGCTCGGCCAGCGCGACCTTTTCGTGCATCTCTTTTCACGTTCTGGCCCTGGACCAATTGACCAATAGTGATTCCATCGGAGATAGCGCCAATGCCATCAGCGATGCCTTCGGCCACATCGCCAACACGGCCAGCACGGCCCTTTCGTGCCTCTCTCTTCGCATTCTGACCTTGGACGGCCTGGTGAATAGTAAGTACATCAGAGACGGCACCGATGCCGCCGACGATGCCTTCTGCAACATCACCGACACGGCCAGCGCGGCCTTTTCGTGCCTCCCTCTTCACATTCTTGCCCTGGACGAATTGGCCAATCGTGATTCCATCAGCGATGAAGCCAATGCCACCACCAATGCCCTCTGCAACATTGCCAATACGGCGACCGTGGCCTCGCTGCGCCTCCCGCTTCTGGATTGGTTCGGCAGTGGGAGCGCCGCTGACAGTCATGCCAGCAGTGAAGGCCAAAATGGCTGCGATAGTGGAAGGATGCATGTTGAAGGTGTTGGGAAGAGTTGGAGAAAGTTGGAAAGAGTGAGGTAGGATTGGAAATTGGAGAAAAGACCGGCTTGTAGGTTTGAACTTGAATCTTTGAAATGAAGATTGAAAAAGTGAGTGTCGTCAACCTGCGAGACCGAAAGAATGTAAGTGAGAGTGGGCCGAGTGCTGATGCTGCGGTGATTTGCAAATGTTGCGCAAGTGCTCATCTTTATACTCCAGAAACTACGTGTGACAAGAACAAACAATAGGCCATCTAGATGACAAGCTGCTACCACAGTTTCGAAGAGAGGGCCACCAAGCCGTGAGCATGAACACCAAGAACACCAAGAACACATGCATCGCCAAGAACTCTTGTCTGACTAGTGACCCTCCCCGTGGAGATTCTGAAGTGTAAACTCGAAAGGGATGCAACAGTATGAAAATGACGTGTGTGATGTGTGCGGAGTGGGTGTTTAGTCGTCTGACTTAGCATAGCATAGGCGTTAATCGTTTAGCCTTCGCAGCGCACGCCCTATCTGGCTTTAACCGGCGATACTTTGACACACACACGCTACTGGAGGTTCAGACTGAACGTGTGTAGGCATGAATAGTTCTTCCACAAGAGAACATCTGTTATAGCTGTCACGGGTTTCGAAGTTTTCTAGAAGACGATGCAAGCGCTTGGCTCCGCCTCGGCACTTTATTCTGACCCAAAACAGTCAGTGCGCGTTACACATGCCTTCGCAAAATAGTTTCATACTGGATTTAGTTTACCCCGTTTGTGTATGACTAACATGTTACTCGACTTAATTGTGACATTGCTCTTTGTTCTTCCCCACGTTTCTGTTTGGGCCGACAGCACATGTCGCATGTGAATGGACGGGTCTCATCTATTCGGATGGATTTCATCTATTCAGTGTAGCCAGCTGGGAAAGATCCTGGAGAAGTGTTTGTGTGCTGTGTGCCAAGACATATCATGTGATGTTTGATCAACAGCGGGGCAGTTTATCCTGTGCAGTAAAATAGTGGATTGAGGGAATGCTAGTATCAATCGCCGTCCCTATATCGCATCTGTTTCAATTTGATCTGCCTTTGGTGTTGCTTTCAGACTGTTCTTCTCCAGTCCCTTTGCGATCTTTACTATATTAATGGGCTCATACTGTCTTTCCTTCTCATGTTTTATCACGATTCTTGTCAAAATTTACGCCTTTTCTTGCCGTTATATGGGCTATACAGCAGCCGAATGACTATCTATTAGGCAGAACTATCACTGTGCGCGAAGCTTCCTGGTCTAGATTGGCTGTATGTGCACCGATTCGCCATCTCAGCAGGCTAGGTTGAGATGGCAGAGTTGTTGTAACGCAGCATGCTGCAGCAACTTCGTTCTATTGTCTAAAAATATTCTAGTGGGCCCTCTATGGTGTATTAGTGAGAGCGCATTCGAAAAGAAGTACTCTCGTGCATCGTCTTAGTACTTCAGGGCTCTGCACTTTGATATTTTGATCCTAATAGAATATATGTCAAATATCTATACCTTGTCATACATAGTATTAGCTTTTAAGAAAGCTTACTTAGAGGCTATAAAGTATCATCTAGGAGCGGAGTTAGAATAGGTATATTACAAACTATTTATTCGTCTTGCCCACTAAGGGCCGCCGTCTAAGCTTGCTGAAGTAAGCTTTACAGCGTACGAAGGAGCTCGTATTTTGTCCCCATCTAGGCGCACATTTCTACCGGGCAACAGCACAATAACACGACCAAAGCAGATCTTATATTATCAAGACTCAGAAGGCATCACTTTCTATATCAAGGTTCTAACACGTGCATTTGAAATAAAATAATCATGTTATAGTAGTAGGTAAAAATGATAAGCTAAACACGTGAGTGAAAGAAGGGAACATAAGAATACGAACTCCTTCGTATAGACCCTGCGAGCATGCACGTGCATCTCGCTACACTATTTTAACATTAAGTGACCTCATTATTCGCTTTTTACACGTCAAGCTACAGCCACATGAACATTTGCTCACTCTACTCAGTATGAGCTCTGGCACGCTGCGAGGATTGATCTCATGCTTCTTCTAGAGACTGACCCAGGCAGCAGCTTCGATTTACATGTATGGACAGCTTATGGGCCTGGTATGGAACAAGGCTATCTCGCCAATCATGGCGAGTCATGCGTGGAGTCTGCGTTGTTTATCTTTGGCAGGCCAGATTTCGGGCAATATTAATGCCCGAGAAGATCACGTGACTCTCACCTAACTCTGTACCAGCCATTTACATAGTCCAACAACGAGCACAGTATTCTATTCCCGAGATGCTCCCTTGAATAACCTATTATTTCCAGTACTTGAGGATGGGCCGAAGCCAAGTCATGTCCGTCTTGCACACCTCGATCCGCTATCGGACTTTACTATCTCCCGAAACGCTCGAATAGCCAGGCAACTTACTCGGGGTATTAGGAATACCGGAAATCTTCCCGTATAAAAGGCCCGGTCACAGCTATCATTCCCTGCAGACCACTATCGAGTTGAACACGAGTCCAAACGACGCTCAAGGAAGATACAATGGGCGAAACACACCTCAGCCGGGAGTCGATCTCTTCGACTCAACCACAGCAACGGGATATGTCTAAGCCTTCGGACTCCAATGAGCAGGCCGATGCAGAGAAGGACTTCAAATCTAAATCATTTCAGTTTTGGCTGATCATGATCTCAATCTATTTTTGCTTCATTTTAGTTGCACTGGACCGCATGATTGTTGGTACGTATCCAAGTATATTGCAATCGACATTCCTAACCCACAGCAGCCACTGCGATACCTGCAATCACGAATACCTTTGGTTCCATCTCAGACATTGGGTGGTATGGCAGCGGATACATGCTCACATGTGCCATCTTCAATCCGCTTTACGGCAAGCTCTACCAACTGTACGATACGAAGCGGACATTCCTTATCGCAATCTTCATATTTGAAGTTGGGAGTGCTATATGCGGCGCTGCTCCTACCTCTACAACTCGTAAGAAAACTTGTCAATCCACGCGAGCCTATATGAGCTGATAGCATCACAGTCATTGTCGGCCGAGCGATTGCGGGCATCGGAGCGGCGGGCATCACCTGCGGATCCATCATGTCGGTTATCCCTCTCATACCGCTTCCGAAGCGACCGTTATTCATTTCCTTCTTTGGCCTCGCCTTTGGGGTAGCCTCTGTTCTTGGGCCCTTTCTGGGAGGTACCTTTACAGACAATGCGTACGCCGACTCCCCCACTTTCATAGAAGTCTCCAGCTAACATTCTCAAAGGAGCCTCGGATGGCGTTGGTGTTTCTATATCAACCTTCCCATCGGTGGAGTCACCTTCGCTGTCATTTTCTTCTTCCTACAACTTGAGTCTTCACCGAAAACGGATCTATCCATCTGGGCGCAAATCAAGCGTCTAGATCCCATTGGCCTTTTGTTCTTCATACCTTCAATGGTATCTCTCATACTCGCGCTTCAGTGGGGAGGTACAACGGATCCCTGGTCGGCACCCAAGATCATCGGCCTTCTTATCACCTTCGCAGTGACTTTCGTCGCATTCTTAGTCGTCGAGTTCAAGATGCCAGAAACAGCAATGGCACCCGCTCGTGTCGTACTCAACCGCTCCGTCGGCGGCGCTATGTTCTTCGTCTTCGTCATGACTGGTGGTTCGATGAACGCAATCTACTACCTTGCGATCTGGTTCCAAGCAGCACAGGGCCAAACTGCTATGGAAGCGGGCGTACGCACTATCCCATTGGTACTATGCCTCGTGCTCACTGGCATCGTAGCCGGAGCATGCACCCAAAAGATTGGATACTGCAACCCAGCAATGTTCGTCTCACCGATTTTGAGCGCTATCGCTAGTGGTCTTCTTTCCACACTTGTACCGCACTCCAGCGCGAGTAAATGGATAGGCTACCAGGTCTTCTACGGTATCGGCCTTGGGTGTGGTTTGCAAACAGCAAATCTAGTCCCGCAAGTTGTCTTACCGCCGTCGGACATCTCATTGGGCATGGCACTCATGTTCTTCGTGCAGCAGCAGGGTGGCGCTATATTCCTCGCCGTTGGTCAGAGCGTGTTTTCACAAGAGCTTGTGAAACAACTTTCGGGTATCGCTGGTCTCGATACCCAAGCCGTGATTCACACGGGTGCGACAGAGCTACGAAAGACTGTGCCAGCGAATGATATCGGTACAGTGATCAACGCGTACAGCTACTCGTTGACTCGCGTGTTCCTTGTGGTAGCGGGACTGAGTTCTTGCATGATCTTGGGCACGCTATTGGTGGAATGGAGGAGTATCAAGAAAGCTGATCCGCCCGCGAAAGACGAAGACGTTGAGAAGGATTGTAGTACTAAGTCAGCTGGCAGTATTGTGACAGCTGGCTCTGTTAAGACAACTAGTGTTGTTGAAAAGCAAAGCTGTAAGTAATGCAGGAGAACCATCACAGATATCTTCACACTCCTCAGTCGTCTCAACACTACGTCCTTGTTTATTAGGCATGCGTTGAACAGATAGATCTGCCAATTGCTCAATTGCTTCACTGTATCAATAGAAGTTGTTAGACTTGCAATGCACGGAATCCTAAAAATAGCACATAATCTATATGATCATGATTATTAGAGGAAAGCTCTATATTCTAGGGCAGAGCCTTAGAGCAGAGAAACTAAGAGTTATCAATAACTCTAAACAGTGCTCTAAATGCCAAGGTTTTGGGCACCTAGAGGCTAAATGCTCTAAAGTAGCCTGCCAAATCTGCAGCGAAGCCCACCACACTAGCCTCCACAAGTGTAATTCTTGTTCAAGCAGAGGCAAGCCTTGCGTTCACACTATCTTTAAGTGTGTAAATTGCAGCAAGCCCCACGCAGCTAACAGCCAAAACTGCAAAATCCTACAAGCTAGGACATCTAGGACTACTACCTCTTCTAACTAGAATGTTAAAAGTCCTACAAATAAATGTTAATAGAAGTAGCCCTGCTATAGAGAGCGCTCTAAATCTAGCTATTCAAGTAAACGCCAAGATTATCGCTATACAGGAACCCTGGCTACTAAAGGGACATACCTACGAGAATACTAGATCAATCGCCCACCAAGACTTTACTCAAATACTCCCTACTTATAAGGGGTTAAGGCCAAGAACGCTCTTTTATATTAGAAAAGACCTAGATGTAGAGGTTAACCTATATATTAGCGACGACAACGATTTACAAGCTATTACAATACTCTCCCCTTTAACTAAGATCTATATATATAACATTTATAACAGAAAAAGCCTAAAAGAAGGGCTTAACAAGACAACAATCCAAAGGCGCCTACTTGAAGAGACTCTAGAACCCTCCTTAATTATACTAGGGGACTTTAACACCCACCACCCTAGATGGAGCCTATAGGATAAAAACCTAAACCAAGAAGCAGAGGATCTAGTAGAGTGGGTAGACAACTAAAACCTTTCTCTTCTAAATACTCTAGGGACTGGCACCTTTTTTTGAGTAAATATGCGGCAAGAAAGCGTACTAGATCTTACTTTTGCAACTAATGATATAGCTGCCAAAATCCAGGACTGGCAAACTATACTAGGAGTTGGATCAGACCACCACGCAATCCTTTTTAGTATTGAAAGCCTAGGCTAGCTACCTAGCTAGCTAAAGAGATTCAATATTAAAAAGACTAACTAGGACATCTTCAATAGTACACTTAATGAAGAAGTCAACAACCAACAGCTGGAGGCACAACTACTAGACCTACCCTACACCTCTAGCTATTTATCAAGAAAGATCCTATTAGGTCAGGATAACTCCCTAGTAGAGAAACTAGAGAAACTAGGAGAAGATATTACAACAGTAGTACAAACAGCTCTGATAGAATCTACCCTACTAGTTAGCTAGAAACTAAAGCCAAAACCTTAGTGGACTAGTGAGCTAGATAACCTAAAGTTGGATCAAAACAGAGCTTTTCGAGCCCTTAAAAGAGAAGCTAGTAGAGAGGACAACAGCCAAATTAACTAGTAGAAAAAAAAGTATCTTATTGCAAAATACAGATATCTAAAAGCTATTAAAAAAGCAAAGCTCAACTACTAGGAAACCCTCCTACAAAAGGAGACGCTAAAAGAGATATTTAAAGCTATGGCCTACACAAAAGACAACCTATCTATAAGGATACCTGCTATTAAAGGCAAGGAGACCTTTAGAGAAAAATGCCAAGCCTTTAGAGAAGATCTCTTCCCCCTACTACTATCTACTCCAGCCCCACTACTAAATACCTACAAAGGAGATAGTAGATAGGAGTGGCTAGCTTTAACAAAAGAAGAGCTCGAATTCGCCTGCGTAAGCGTAAAAGCTACCTCGCCAGGACTAGATTTAATTAGCCAGGATATAGTCCAAAAAGTCTATTAGGCACAGCTAGAATTACTCTTTAAGATATATTTAGCTCTATTTAATTTTAGCTACCAACTAAAGTGCTAGAGAAAAGCTAAAGGAGTTATTCTAAAGAAACCTGGAAAGCCAGACTACTCTATCCCAAAGGCATATAGAGTTATCTCACTCTTAAGCTGCCTAGGGAAAGTACTAGAAAGACTATTTGCAAGACGATTAGGAGCACTAGCAGAAACAACAGACTTACTCCACCCTACCCAGTTAGGCGGGAGATTAAAGAAATTAGCAATTAACGCCACTCTCCTATTCTATAATAATATACAGCAGTAGAAAAAGAAGCATAGGACTACTACAACTATATTTCTAGACATAAAAGGAGCCTTTGATCACGTGGCTAAAAACAAGCTACTAGAAAATATGAAGGATTAAGGACTTCCCTACTGCCTGCTATCCTAGACTAAATCCTTCCTAGAAAACAGACTACTAGAGCTATCCTTTGATAGCCAAGTAGAAGATCTACAGGAGGTAAACACTAGTACGCCCCAAGGCAGCCCTACTTCTCTAATCCTATTTTTAATCTACACAAAACCACTATTTTAGTTAATTACAACAAATGGAAATATCTACTCGTCTTCTTATATAGACGACCTACAGATATCAGTATCTACAACATCTATTAAGAAAAACGTTAAATTACTAGAAAAAGAGACCTAAAAACTCTTTAACCTAGCAGAGGAGCTAGCAATCAAATTTGACAGCTTAAAGACTGAACTATTAAATTGGACTAGATTAAAAAAGGATCAAGATTCTCTCACACTACCCACCTAGGAGACCTTTCAACTAAAATAGCAAATTAGATAGCTAGGCATCTACTTTGACAAAGCCCTTAAGTTCAAGGATCACTGCTTTATTAGAAATTAACAGGCAAACTAAGCCTTTACTTGGCTAAGCAGACTAGCAAATAGCAATAAAGGCCTATTACCTAGAGCCTTTAGACAATTATACCTTGCCTGCATCACTAGCGTAGCAGACTATGGTTGTTAGATCTTCTAGAAACAACAACAACTAGCTCTTAAACAAAGGCAATTACTACAAAATAGAGCGTGTAGGAAGATTCTAGGCACATTTAAGACCTCCCCAACTATACCTAGTGAGGTAGAGGCCTGCCTTTACCCACCTAGAGTAAGGTTAAACAACGCTCTTTGACAATACGCCTTTAGAGCTTAAAAACTAGCCTCAAACCACCCAATTAATATTGCTATAACTAACAATAAAGGAGAACAACTAGATTAGATCACTAGATCTATCTCTACAGTCCTTACTAGAAACACTAAGGAGATACAACATTACGCCTTTACACCTTAGAACTTAAATATCCTATATAAGGTCTATATATCTAAAGAGCCTAAAGATATAGAAGCAAATAACTACAAGGAACAACTAGTAGATAACAGCCTTCCATTTATCTATTCTAATGCCTTAGCTACAAAGTAAGGCAAAGGTGTAGGAGTAGAGGTTGTATTCTATCTAGGAACAACATAAATAGCCTAAGAACAATATACTATAGAAAATAACCAACTAGTTTATAACAGTAAACTAGAAGGTATTACTCTAAAGCTAGAAAAAGCAATAGAGCTAGTAAAGAACTATTTAGATATAAAAGTCTATACAAATAATTAAGCTACTCTACTTAAGTTAAAGACTACTTCTAATAATCTAGGCTAAGAATAGTAAATTAGATGTATAAAGGCAACAAAGAAACTAAAGGAGATAGGTATACGCCCTAGCCCTTACTAGGTACTAGGCCACTAAGATATCCCTAGAAATAAAAAAGTAGACGCCCTAGCTAAAGAAGCTACAAAGCTAGACCCTCCTTCTACTAGTAAAACTAGCCTAGCTATTACTAGCTCGCGAATTAAGCAGCTAGGAGAGAGAGAATGGCTAAGCTAACTTAAATAGTATAGGAAAAAAGCCACTAGCAAGAATCCACATACGTACGCAGCAAAATACAAGTAGAAGATAAGAAAGCAAATTACTATTTCTAGCAATACTAGAAGAGAGATTTCTAGCGCTTTCTACTAACTTAAACTGGGGCACTATTACCTAAGGGACTACCTATATAAGAAAGGGAAAGTGGATTCTAATAGTTGCCCCTACAACTATAGGTCTATACAAGACCTACCTTATATTCTATTTAGATGTAATCTATATAGAGAGAAAAGAAAAGGACTAAGAGAAGCCTGCGAAGGTGATCTATTACTACCTATCCTCCTTTAAACAAAAGAGGGTATAGGAGCAACTATTACCTTTATTTAAGAAACAAAGGCTAGGACATAAGCCTAGTATAAGGGAAACATAGAAAACGAGAAGTAATACCTGTAACAGGTAGCTATACACCTCTCCTACCCTATCCCACCCCCTACCTACTAACTAATAGGCTACAAGCCTCACCTTTATTTAGTTAAAACCCCTCCTAAATATTGTAGCTAGAAACAACCTACTTAGATACTTGTAGGCCTAAAAACCCTACACGTCTTATATAGCCCTTTGGGCTGAAAAAGGACGTTAAACTAGAACAATAATAATAATAATATATGATCATGATATCAATATATTCGAAACAAAGCGCAACAACACAACCAGGATACAGCCTATGCTAGTGTGAGGAGCAGTGAAGCCTCATGGCATAGCACGACTCGCAGCATCATGGACATGCCAATGGAGATCTTCGCACCCTTGTGTCCAAAAGCGTAGCATCAACCGACTCAGTGACCGAAGTTTCCAAGGCATTCTGACGGTCACGCGGTCAACGACGTAGATGACGAAGGAATCCGAATAGCATTTGCATGTCACACGTCGGATCCGTAGCGCCCGCATTCTGAAAGCACCAAGTGAGATCTTCGCTCATTGATGCGACTAGAAATGCCATATCACTCCCAGAACGCCATGCACGTACCTACACCTACGTCTTCGCACCGCACGCACGTCATGATTCACAAAGGGCACAACCCCATATGACGTATCCAGCACAACCCGCATTCCCCCTTCCGTGTGCTAGCACAAGCATTTTCCCCACAACCCCAACCAGGAGCCCCCAATCCGATCCGCATTCTATTCTTGACACTGCGAGATTGCGGCGACCATGGGGGAAAGGTGTGGTCTGCACACGACAAGGCTACCCCTCGGAGACATCTCCGACGCGTCTCCAGCGCCCCTTTACGACCATCTGAGACATGGAGGTTCCCGCACGACGGGTTGAGAACCGGTACACAGCGATGCTCCCGGGTTCCTGGAAACCCGCAGTCCCATATTGCGGTGCTGCGGACCACACCTAAAATGTTGCACAGAGATGGGGGCAGGCTGGCGTCATTCGATCGGCGGTGCTGCAACGTTGCATCGACCTGGCGATCGAGTGCCATATAATGCGCCAGGCTGAGTAAGTGGGAAGGGCACGGTCGGAGTATCAGTGCGTTTCCGGACTCCAGGTTCATGGTTCTGGAGTTGTGGCGGTGGCGGTGGCGGTGGCTCAAACATATGGTCGGCTAGGATTTGTGCATCTGCATCCGAGATGGTAGCCTTCTGGCAATGGCTGGCTGTATATGGGGCGTTATTATGAAAATCGTTTTGATCGTTACTAGGAATAAGAAATTATGTGGGGAACGGTTTCTGTTCATACGGTGTTTTGTTGTTAAGAGGCACTGTTGGTGGTGTGAAAGAGGCGCGTTTTCGTCGGGGTTGGCCTGGTGTATATCCAGCGGTAACCTTGGGGAAATGGGGTGGAGTATTGCTAAGTACTAATACTTCTAAACGCACATGAGATGAGTAGACAATTAATGATTACTTAAACTGAGACGGAAGGAGTTCGCAGTTCAGTGGCGGGTGATATAGCTCTATAATAAAAACACTACACTAAGCTTGGAAAAAAATTATTATGTCACCGTGGGAGACAAATTTAAGTCCGCAAATTATCTGCAAGATGGAAAAAATATACATCATGGCAATTTCTTTTCTATAGTATTAGCTGTATTGGATATACTGCATATAGATGTTTGTTGCAGCGGCTTTCATTTGACCACGTTAAAACTCTTAAGAAACAAAAACCCCAATAATCCTACCTCACGCCCGTCGAAGAAGAGTAAGTTTTAATAGGTACATATTTCCATGCATTATAGATATCTTGCAACTAAGTAGGACTATATCCAGTGAACTGTGTCAGCTATGAATTTAACACATTTCAAAACAAGCAGTCTGTAGTAAATTCAAAAGAACCACATATGATCTTTCTAAGAACCGCAATACTTGTATAAAAAAAACTAGCAGGCTGAATAGAAACAGAACGTGACTTCCTTCACAGATGTTCTTCTTCTCATTTCCTTCTTGAGAAAAAAATAATATTCTTTACACTTGTGCTTGTCTCCCGGGTATCTACTCAGACAAAAACAAAAGAATATTCTTATTGAACAAAAAAACAATTTTAACCCGCTGGAAACAATATTTCCTAGATGCTTTCTCCACTTCATAAAATCACTTTTTCTCCATTCTCCTCTGCCTATCCATCAATAACCACCTGCCAACCTCCTCACAACACTCTGTATATATCATGTCTACCTACACCCTTTATCCAACGCATTTTCCCACCACCTCGTCCCACCCTTCTCCCATCCCCCTATCCTCTCCCCTCTCAACCACATAGAATCGCTATTTCCCCCACACCTAGCCAAAAAAAACTCCCATTCATACACACATACATACATACATACATACATACATACATACGGCACGTGACCCTTCCCACCCTCACCACTCCCTCAGCACAACACAATCATTTTCCCCACGTGACAAGCACGTCCGCCACGCACGTGACACGAGTCAACCGCCCAACGCCAACGCCAACGCCAACGCCAACCAAACCCCCAACAACCCCCTGAGCCGATCTTCCGGACGATCCTGCGGGGATCAACGAGTCGCAGGCGCAGGTGCAGGCGCGGGTCAGGCTTCCAACACGGATACCAGCTCGTTGTGTGTGTATGCATAGGTGTAGTGTTATTTGCATAGACTGCGATATGTTCACAGCTACAGATATACACGACTGCGAGTTTTTGGTTCTGAGTGTACGTATTGTGCGAGTGCTGGTGGTGTTGCTGGGCAGGAGATACAAGTTCCAGTGTCATGTGTGGTATTGCCTGATAACAAGTACATGAATCGCAAAATTATAGTCGCTGCTCATGCCATGTCGCGTCCTTTGCCTTCCTCTGCGTTCTACAGCAGAGAAAAAATGTGCATGCGCGCGTGTAAGTATGTGTATGTATGCATCTATCCAAGTGCTCGCATATCCTAACAACAACAAGAGGAAAAAGGGTCATGTAAACAACAAACACGCAATCCAGATTCAAGCTTCGCAGTGACAGGTTACATAACCAATACGACTTTAGTTGGATTAAACCACACACATACACACACACAAAAAAAGAGGGTTTGCACCGGCGTCGAAGAAGAGGAAGTAAGAAGAGGGAAAAACTCAAAAGATTGTTTGAATCGAGAAAAAATATCAATTTTCTTTGTCTGCGAGTAAGATTGCAGCAGCAAGTAACTTCGGCAAAGTGGGCGTGCAAGTACACCTATGCAAGCCATGAGATGGACAAGTTAGGGGTACATAGGTTTCTGGCGCGAATCCGCTTTTGATGAATAGGCATGTGGATGCATATTACGGGGGAAATGCGTTACTTGGCAGGCTGCACAGTATTTGTGTACGAAGGCGCAGAAAATGGTAGTGGCAAAAGTATGCGTTTGCGGGAAAGGAGCGGGTGAGAGAGTTAGCGGGTAGGCAATTGAGACCTATTCCAGCTAGACTCAGCATGTAGCTTGAGTTGCCGCCCGCCTTCAAGGTCGCGTGCTGTTACTGTTTACAGGAGAGGGAGGCTGAGTGCTGGTAAAAGGAGGTCCGTCACTGCTTGGCGAGAGCCCGCAGTGCAACTCTAACAAGACGCTTGGAGTTGGTGATGGATGAGCCAGCAAGGCAGAGCGGTGAGAGCCTTTTGCTGTGCATAAAGGGGTGGTGGGTGTCACGTCATCTAGCGTTGCGCGGCGCGAGACTAGTCAGATTCCTTTGGGAACGCTTGTCTTCTTCTACGGAGACCAGCAAGTCATTCTTGCAGACGTAGACATTGAACACTTGCCGTCGTCTGGACCTTGGTGTGGGCCCCCTGGAGATGGGCGAGGCTGGCCGGTCGGTACACTTGCGGTCCGCGGACTTGTCCACTCATGGTTGCACTCGATGCAATCCGGCCAGGAATGTGGATAAAGTCTCTTCGAGCATTGAACACAGTTGATCGTCGGCTGTTGAAAGTTTCTGTTCCGGGATCCATAGCTGGTGACAAGGAGTGCGCATAAACCCAGAGGGTTGGGGAGCTGTGAGTCAGTTTGGGAGATGCTAGCATGTGCCCTGAACCAGGCAACCTCAGGCCACCTCCTTCCAGGTCGTGTGCTGCTATATTCGTCTGCGCATGAGCCTCTGGATGGGTCTTGTACTGCGGTCGAGGGTTTACACAGCTGTAACCCGCGAGCAGACATGTTTCACGATGCCATGGTGCCTCTGCTCTTGATTTGCCCATGTGCGCGCCATACCGGCAGTGGCGCTAACGTACTTTTGAGGCTGCGCATCTAGACTGCTGAGGGAGCGTGTACACGGCCATGCTGATGTGCGTGCAAGCATGATTCACGGACCACGTGTTTCGGCGTAGGGTGGCGAAGACGCCATGAGCGCGGTGGCTAGGGGTTTGGCGGGCGATGGCTGAGCGGAGAGGCACAAGGCTTTGTGTGTAGTCATGCGACGGGGGCCAGCCTCGCGCCAATAGCTCGGGAGCTAGCGTCCAAAGCCATGGAGAAAGATGAAGAGCCAGCCATGTCTGTGAAAACGAGCCGCTGCTGGTTGGCGGTCGAGAGGTTCAAAGGGCATGCGGAAACGACGGTGTGAAGTTTAAGAGCGACGATGGCTTGCTTTAGGCGAGAGCTTAGCCGTCTCCGTCTCCACAGTGCACGGGCCCTCTTCTTGATCCGTCCGCATTTGGACATGGATACGACTGCGTCTTGTAGGCTACACGGCACTTTTGCGTCCTCTCGACCTGCCAGCTCCTGTGCACGAGGCTGGATGTCTTTCATCTGGCCGTTTGGAGTCGGAAATAACTCCTGTGTTTTCTACGGTGCGTCCAGCACGCCCAGGGCAGCCACTGCAGACCACCAACGGGGGCGGCCGATCAGCATTCCAGAGCACCGCACTATCTGCTGCTACTGCCGACGAACGCTTCGTCTGGTGAACGACGCTCTTCAGAGTCTCATCGCGCAGCAGCTAATGCCCGTCAACCTGTGTGACTACGGCGTCTCCAACAGCGGGCAGGCCGGCGACACCAGCGCGACCAATACACCAAGCAGCCGATCTCAATTCCCCGTGTCCATGACGAATAGCCGAGTGACAAATGAAGCCACACTAGCCCCCGTCCACGTCCATGAAAGCTACCCGCAGTGGAGCTTGGTCCACTTGGTTGTGTCGAAGAGCTTAGGCGGCAAGAAGTTCGCATCGACTCCCCTGGCGAGCATCAGCGCCCGTCTCCCTGCAGCACCAACGTCGATCCCGCCGCATGCCATGTACTCACTGAACAGCCGCGAAAGTGGGTAGCTCCCACGATGAAACCGTCTGGTGCTAGACGACCTTGGCATGCTAACACGCTTTGGTCTGTATCCTCTCGAAAACAATAGCTTCGTTGACGCAAGAGCCCCATGTTTCGAAACATTACCAGAATAGCTACTAGCGCAAAGTATCCAACGCCATGAGCTTGCCTGGCGAGAGAGTCCATCATGCTCCATCACCCAGCCTCCGAGTATAAGATGCACTGGCTCGACCTCGATTACACACCACCAACATTCATCACTTTCGCTTCTCATCTTGAGTTCTCCCACTACCTCTCTCTTTATCTCTCGTACTATCTTGCCTTTGTGCAGAGCACCACCATTCGCTTTACATTCGATTCTCAGTAATCCAATCTACGACACTCGGTCAACACTAATCGGCTCCCTGCCTTCTTTCGACAATCTTTTTCACTAGGCTCTCTCGATTTTACTATCCAAATAAGCAACAATGAAGTACGCTTACATTCTCACTCTCGTGACCGTCGTCACTGCTCTTCCCCGCCCTCAATATGGCGCGGCTCCTCCTTCCAAGCCTCAGCCCTCTGTGCCTATGTCGACTGGCATCTCGGGAGGCTACCCTACCATGCCTGGCCCGAACGGCCCTGGTTACGGAAGCCCTGGAGGTTCCCCTTCGTCGCCTGGCAAGCCTGGCAACGGTCCTACTGGCGGTGCTGGTTCTCCTGGCAAGCCAGAGGGCGACAAGCCTGAAGGAGACAAGCCTGGCAACGGTCCTACCGGCGGTGCTGGTTCTCCTGGCAAGCCAGAGGGCGACAAGCCTAGAAGGT